TAATCGCCACTGGATTCAAACGCCAAGAAGAAAACGAGGGCAGGAACCTACAGGTATATTCGTATTTCTCATGTATGTATATGTGTTGTGCATATATGCCAAGATCGAGTGTTCGTTCTCATTATGTTTCTTGACTTGCGTTTGAAACACAGTCAAGTCAACCCCCCACGGGAGATGCATCCATTGGCATCAACCGACGACCTACAACATCCTTCATGGAGGGCAGCTCGGTAGAGATCCCCGAGTTCTTAAGGAAGAAAGGACGTTCACGCTATCCAAGAGCTTAAGTAAAGTCTTTTTCCTCGCATCTAATATTTATCTCCTGCATAATCTCCCTACCCTCCCCCTCCTCTCCAGTTCCCCAAACGAAAACCACAACACAATGGGAGGCAACTCCAGCCAAATTGGTCAGACTGTTAACTTGGTAACTACAAGGTTACAAGTCTGACTCCAACGGGAGTGGCATACTGACCTTCTTGGTTTGAGCCCTATGCTGGTTTACCTCTTTGTGGTCCTTTGCGGTTTTGCCAGCTAGGGTCACAAGACGGGGTTTATCCAGCGGTCAGTGTACATTCTCGGGTAGTGATTGCGGGTTTCCTTTGTCACCCAAAAAAAACAAGAACACAATGGCAGTTTCGCTTGATACTGAGTTTACCGCATGTTCACAGGATGTTGATAATCCATTAAAGCTTGAGCTTGACTCTAAGAAAGTGCAGTCCACCTTTTTCCTAATAAAATGTTCTTGGTTGATGATGTCAATACAAAGTATGTGTCTGATGCAGAGCAGTAGAATAAGTTGAAGTTTTAGGAGGTAAGTCCATAGAAAACCACAATTAGGTAAGATTTATGGTTGTACAGTTTACTACATTTGATGTTCATTTCTAGGTTTTCAATGCAATTCTTGTTCTCCTTTCTTTTACACACCAGGAATTGAAATCAAAATCATAGTTAGTGTTTAGTTGACAACTTTTTAGAACACAGCTATGGTATTTGATTATTCCATCAATTAAAAATTTCATTACTTAATTAAAAATGAGTATCATTCCATCTTATTGGTAATCTAATTTATAAGTTTGGATTAATACTTTTAGATTCCATCGTCATAATATTTTACCCAATTTTGTAATTCTTTCATCGTCATTAAAATCTCACCCGCCGCTAACCCATTGATTTTGTACAATTCTAAGCAACATAAGAGGTCTTCATCACCACTAATAGAATAATAGGTCAAAGTCTCCCGATGACTCCAGTGAAAAAATCTCATTTGCCGAGTTTTGCTCAAGTGACATTATTTGATTTGATGCTCCCTTGATATAAATTAGTTTCCTAATCATGTATATAAAACAATTGTAATTTAAAAGATATAAAATTAGAGAAAAGGATGGCCAGGAATATACTTATAAATGATGTCAGCTACTTGGGTATAAAACTTTGAAGAAATATCTGCATGGCCCCATCCAAACATGTCTCTATCTGTCATTAAATGACAGGCACAACTGCCACAAATTCTTTGTTGCTTAAAAAATAAAAATAAAAATAAAAAACCAAATTCGTTGTATGCAACAATGTTTTTGAGAGAGACCGTTTGAATGAAATCTAATTGAAATATAATTAAATGAGTGTCGTATTGTTGGATACGAATATCAGTGCAGTATGAAAAAATAAAAATAAAAGAATCATGATAACAAGATTACATGTTTGACTCCCAGCAAGAACGGACATTTTTGGTTAGCTATGAACTTTTTTTGGTCTGAGTCATTCAGTTTATCAGTTATAAGCAATCTAAATGGTTTACCTTCTGTGATTTGAGCCGCATTATTGAATTTGATTCGCAAAATGATTTTTTTTTTTTAATCGAAAAGTCTAGAATACCCTCGATGAATCAAATCATTTGCTCCCATTGGCTAGAGCCAAATTCAAATCACACAGCTTGTTCAAATCGACATCTACCTCACAATCTTCCAAATATCCTTGACACCCCCCACCCCACCTTCCACGGTCTCGTTTGGCTGGAGAGACAAGGAAGTTCTGCAGCCGACCTTCCAAGTCATGTCTACCAGCAATCATCGGATTCTAAGTCTAATCTTGTTTGTTCTTACAACCTCTTAATAGTTTTGAAACAAACAATCCCTTAGGGCTTGTTTGGTTAAATCCCCCTACCGCGTAATACAACATGCATTAATAACCATTTGTTATCGTACGTAAATCTAAATATTAAGATATGTTATGTTATGTTATTGGTACTAAAATCTTTTGTTTTGTTTTCTGTTTTTATTACAATATATGCGCAAACAAAATCAGCTTAACAATATTACAATTACAATAATAAAAAAAAAGTAGTGTGATTATGTCACTCCAATACGATACGTTGTAATAGACTAGAAGAGGTGACGTGATACCCAATTGTGAAGAATATTGATACAACCACGACCATGAGGCAATGTTGTTGTTGTTGTTAGTTTATAGTGGAATCATGGGTAGTTATAATACAGTGGTAGGTTAGTGAGTGATTTTATGATTCTGTATATATACCTACATATGTATCTGAAGAAAGACAGTGAAGAATATATTATTGAATTGTCTGGTTACATTCTCTTCTTTATCTTTCTTTTCTAAAGTTAGACACAGTGAAGAATATATTATTGAATTGTCTGGTTACATTCTTTTTTTATCTTTCTTTGCTGGAGTTAGACTATAACTCGAATGATAGTCTGGAGTTGAGCTACCACTCGAAGCACAGTCATGTCTCTTCTCTCCCATTTTTGGAGTTTAGCTCTTGACTTGAAAAAGAGCAATTCATACAACCTCAGGGTTGTATCAAATACACACGAATAGTCATCTAATCCACACAATCATTTACTTGTCGATGAATATGACGACCATACACCTAATTATCGTTCACTTCTTACGTCAGCTTTTCGATAACAACTAAGTATTACTCTGATCTCCATATATAGCTATTAGACCAACTCAACGTAAATCTATGGTAAATGACTCACAACTCCGCAACTAAATATATTCATGGCGATTTTCCCTCGATATTATTATTAAAACCCACAAACCCACTCATGACTCATATATCATACCTATTCCACAACACACCCCATGCCAATCGCAACTTCTTCTAACACGTATTGTGTGCAACACATGACCGGCTTTCTTACAAGCTAATCAATTAATAAATAAGGGCAATCTTTTGTATGTACAGTCCTATTGTGTGGTTCATCAAGAGTGAACCAAACCACACAATTGCAAAAAAAGAAATCTAGAATGAGAGACACGTAAAACTCTCACTAACCGTACAAAACACACTTTGTGGTGACGTGTCAACCATCACCCCACCCGTTTACTTTTCTTCACTCCCACACAATATATAAAATCACTAACCCTTCATGCAATCTTCTACACATGAAAAATTGAAAATCTTCTCTCAAACCCAAACCCAAACCCTCTCTCTCTCTCTCTCTCTCTATACAACGAACACACATCTCTCATCCATGCAGCATCATCATCCCACCGCCAACACAACATCCCGCCGCCGGGAATTCAAGAACGCCGGCGAGTCCGACAGCAACGCGGAAGAGTCGGATATGGGTTCCAGACGGCGGGCGTGTTTGGGGGGTAAAAAAAGCGAAGCCCCAGAGCAGAAGAAACCGCAGAAAAGCTGTTCATCAGAGGAGAAAGGTCGTCATGGTGAACCCAACGGCGGAGGAGAAACTGGGGTTCAAGGGTGCAGCCCGGGCGACGCCGCGGCGGCGGCGGCGGAGATCACGGGGCGGGAGAGGCTAAAGAGGCACCGGGTGGAAGTTGCAGGGCGTGTTTGGATCCCGGATATCTGGGGCCAAGAGGATCTCCTCAAGGAATGGACCGATTGCCGCGGTTTCGATGCTTCTTTGATGAATAGCAATATAATGTCAGCTCGTGAAGCTTTAATGGCGGAAGGAAGAAGGGCTACTTCCAGCAGATTAAGGATCGAGAACAGTTGCTGAATGCTGATCCATCCTTTAATTTCCTTAAATTCCTCGAAAACCTAAGTCATCACATGATCGATCGAGTTCCCCACTACGTATGTACCCTTATAGCTTATGCGATCCATCGTTAGTTTCTGGATATTTTTTCCTCAATTGTTTGATCACAATAATCTGCAGTGTACTTCCATGTCAGATACCAATTCAAGAGATCAGATCAAAATATATACATCTATCTATATATATTCTGGGAATTAGTTGTACATTTTTAAGCACTTTTACTCGTAGCAAGGGTTGCAACTTACAAGATAATTATGCTTCTGACAAGATCGATCTTTGTGTGATTATAACCCTCCGTTAACGTGTCACCTCGGAGTTCACGAAATAGCATGTGCAGCTAACTTTAAAAGTACTGACAACCATGTCCACGCAGCCAATAAATAAAATGTATTATTCCCAAAATGTTAATCTTCAATCGCAAGAGTCTCACCTCTCAACAGAGCATCTGAAAGGCTCGATCCCGGATCATTGTTTCTAAACTTCACTTTTGGTAATCAAATGAGCTGCCTATTACTTTGGTATTCACAAAATTACATGTTCAATTCTTAGCTAGCTCTATAACATCCTATTAATTGTGTTTTTTTTTGTTTGTTTGTTTGTTTAAGTCGGTGAGTGTTTCGAGCCAAGATTTACATTACACTCTCAAAAAAAAAAAAAAAAAGTAATTTTCGACCTGTATGTAAATCACTTCAAATCTATTCAATCATCATTGGTAATGATTTGCGTCGCCAACAGGGAATTTATTAAGTTACCGATACACCGAGCTGTCTATATTGCTTTGATTTGACACTAAAGTCTCAAACAAAGAAATATTTTTCAATTTTTTTTCCCCACAGTCTGAGGAAATTAAAACCGGACCAAATTTCAAGTTTCGATCTTATAGTTGCATTAACAGTTTGTTTACCGACTGTCCCAAATTGTTGAATTTAAAATGATATGTAACAGTTGGCAACTCACCATAATTTTTAACTCCTTGGCTTGTTTAAGGTCCATAGTCTGTTGGCTCGTTTTAACTTTATTTTCTTCAATTCCTTGTATACAAAAGATCGAAAGAAGAAAAGGGAACGAGTATATGATTGAGACAAACAAATTGAAGTAAAAGTTTTGAGAACTAAGTAACTCTTACATCAAGGTATAGAACAAGATCGGAATGAGAGTTTGTTGTTGTTTGGATAGAGAAGCTAAGCCAACTCCTGAGATCGGGTACGTGGAAGATTAATGACCTGTGATTCAAACAAAATTAAACGAGTTTATTTGATTCATTCTAAGTCAAGTTTTGGATTCAAAACGTAATAAATAGAACATTAATGAGAGCATTGGGTATGCATTTCTGCATCCGCGAACAATCTTACTGTAGTGTTCCATCCCACACAATACACATGTTCACATCCATTTCATGAGTCTTTTCCTTCTCCAGAAGCAATTTAATTGTATTCTGGGCCATTGACCTGATTAAGACTTGAAGAAACTAACTGTTACTTCAAAGAGGCCAAGCAAGCAAAATTTCATCAGATTAAACGATGCACAAACTTTAAGTGTGATACACACCATGGGTTCCTGACTTGAAGAACTAAAGGTTGGATGGCTATGTGCATTATATTGGATGAACAATGATTGTGTTTATAATTGATTGGAATAATTTGCTATCATAATTAGCATTGAATAATTGGCTGCTATTATTAGTGCTAGCTAGCTACATGATTTACACTAATCCTGCTCTGGATGAAGTAAATTGCATGATGTGTCTCAACTGGCCTACAAGCCTCCAAATGCGGAATGTATCTCAACTGGCCTATAGGTCCCTAAATACATGAACTAATGTACAATAGTGCTACAATAAAGCCAAATTCATACCTCCCTTTTTTGGTAATTAGTAGGATTCGAACCTTGCACCATGCACCTATTAGTAAAGCAAAGCCTCTCAACTTATTTTGGACAAGTCTATATAATAACCTCCCTTGTGGCCTTGTATTGTGTAGATAAGGAAGGAATAAACACATTTATCTCTCCTAGAATATTTCTATTCCCTCTTTTTCATCAGTATCTTCTTTCTCTCTTTGTCACTTCTTTCCTCTCCCTATTGTCTATTCCTGGAGTCTAGAGTCACTCGAAATAGTGCCTATTTTGATATAAGGTTGCATATGCTTTCGTTGCACTTGTTATCCTCCTCCTCACACACACACACACACACACACACAAAAGATAACTCGGAGAGTCTCAATGAAGTTATTTCACAAGTGAATGATGGAAAACCAGACTTGACGGAGTCTATACTATAATAACCTCTCTTTTATTGTGTGGCTAAGCAATAAATAAAAACATATATCTCACCCAAGAAAATTCTCTTCCCTCTTTTTCATCAATATCTTCTTTCTCTCCGCTACGTCATCATCACTTCTCCTTCCCTCTCCCTTTCGTCTTTTTCTAGAGTCAGCTCTCACTCAAAGTAGTGCCTATTTTGATACAAAGTCGTATCAAACTGTTACTTCAAAGAGATCAACCCAGTAAAAGCTCTGATTAACAATGCAGAAACCAACTCTTAATTACTCCAAAGATGCCAATCGAGTAAAATTTATAGACTTCTGTACTACACTGCTACTGTACTCAAACTCACTAGATTATAGCTTAAACTCATCATTTAACATAAGCACCCATCTTTCAATGTTTAGCCGAGGTTAGTAAGTTTCTGAGAAGAAATGATACTCTACATCATAATTTTTAACTCATTCATGTTTTAATTTGGAACAGGAGGGTGAACTTAGCTAGCTATAAAACATTTGACAAAGGCTAAATAGTTATAAAAGAGTGGGTGTATTAGCCAATGAGCAAAAAATCATGGCACCAAGGGGGAAAGGGGTTTGTTGTACGTAACTACAACATCATCTTCATTTATTTATTTTTTGCATATAACATCCAATATCTCTATCATTGTGAGACTAATCCAGATTCAACCCAAGTCGGGTCGGTTTGACTCTTACTTGGGGGAAGGCTTAACCTAGAATTCTTTAACATGATATCATCTTCTAATGTATGGCATCATCAGCTGCTCCACTAGCAAATATCCCTTCCCTAAACATATTCCATAGGTAAATGATGAGTGACACCAACCTAAAGAGCCACATATCAATGTGGATTAGGACATAAAAGAAAACTTGCCACCTTGAGCCCTTGACGATTAAACCAAAGAGAGCGCAAATATGTTTCCTTGAGAATTAAAACAAAACTGCTCGGAAATGTGAAAAACAAATAAAATAAGCAGAATATTGGGATGTAAGCTATTTGTACGGTGAATTGAACCACAAATGTGCTTATGCACTCTAGCTCTTAAGTGATCAATGTAAGATCTGATCGTATTCACTTGTCAAATCCTGGATCTGGAGTACAACAATTAATGATTAGCCTAATTAATTGCAATATACTGATCAATCATAAACAATCAGCAGCTGAATATCTGATTATCCAGAAAAGTCCAGACACACATGTTCTTAAATTAACTTTGATATTCAAGTTGTATTAAGTATTAACTATGGGCTAAAAGCTTATCAATGAAATTAAGTTATGAGAATCAAACACATATATTAGGATTGCGCATTTATAGAATACAAAATAAAAGTCATTAGCAGTGCTCACCGAGGTGTATTTCCATTCCCAATTCGCCAGACAGCATTTTCGTAATGTCAGAATCAATACCTTTGGGCCTTTGGTTCAAGTTATATAAGATAACTAAGGTTATATTTGCATGGGAATATAAGACTCCCATGTTTCGTTCAAGTTATGCAATTTCCCCAAGGAATGTAACATAACCTCCACAAAAGGTTTTTAGCTATTGCAAGGGAATGTGAGATACCCTCCCCTTTCTTAAGTATTCTCACATTCCATTGTCTTATTGCTAATTTTGTCATTTTAATACATTGCCTTAGTTAATTATTGTTCTAGCTCTTAGTTAATTAATTTTAAATTATTTACTTCTATATTTTACCATATAACTCTTCAACCAAACAGATTTATATTACATACCTCAGTTTTAAACCAAACACAGGAATCTAACAACCCCAGCAATCTAACATTCCCTAAGGTAATATAACATTCCATGAACCATACGCCCCCTAGGGTTATATCATCACTGGAAAATCAGTTTAAATATTAACACAAAAAAACTAACGGTTAGAGATCTATATGAACATCAACAGATATTCTAGTGTCAAAATCAAGAAAGATATAAAAGATTTGCATACCTACAGGTAATCCATCTTGTCACTGCTGGGATCAGAAGAGAGATCCCACACTGTCTATGTGTGCCCACTGCAAGAAGTGGAGTCTCCTCATCTTTCACACGTGAATTAAGAATACTTGAACTTTTTGACAAACAATAGTTCAATTCAAAACCACATGGTCAAAACAACATATGACTTGATTGAGGCTTACATGGAGCAAGTGTAATCACCATACTTCCTAAACAAATTAAAGGATGGTAGGCAATTCAAGAATTATGCGTGTATTCTACAGAATGGAACAAATTAAAAGTGTGGCATGGTGGGAGCAATTTGTCTAGGTTTGAGCATAACGTCAATTATCACAATAACTATTACTATCCTATACCCAGACCTAAAGTTTGGCACATCAAGCACAATATTTGGTAACTTGTAAGGGAGATGGACAATGAGAACAAGTAAGTAGTTATAGGTAATACCATAACGGGATTAGAAAAGCACATTTGAAAGTTTCGTATACCTTGCCAGTATCATCAATAATTCATCACAGCTACATGAAAACAAAATATCCATGAAAGGATGCCATTTCACCATCACAACATCATGGTGTTCTTCAAGTACTGAAACACTTTACCTGGCAAAGCTTCCCATTCCCAAACTGTTAGATCTTGCCCACAGATTGCAAGCAGCCAACTAGATCCATTCCAAAAGGCAATTTTGACTTCATTTTCATGACCCTAATGCAAGCCCAATATCCAATTAGAAATCCAAACTATAACCTTTAATTTCACAGTAAAGAGGGGAGACAAAGAACTGAAAGAAGGATAAGTGGGAACACCTTAGAATTTATAGTTTCAACATCTCTGATCTCAAATTGTGAACTGTCATTCTTGATCTAATCTAATCCTCTCTGTATGGTTCAAATTTCCAATTTTTATCAGATTTCACCTTCTTTTAAACTCCAAACATCATCACTGATGTCAATCCAATACCAATTTCAGCACATTCATTCTCTAAAACCAGAATTACCATTGCGATATGCATTGCATGTAATTGCTAAACCCTGAAGCAATCACTACCGATCAGCGTCTTGCATGAACAACTCCACTGAAAATTCAAAGCAAAATCGAAATGATCGCACACTTGTTTTAAGCTGCATTGACTCAATTCAATAACATAAGCTCAAAAAATTCAAAATTTACCAAAAGTTAAAACCTTGCACTGGAAACAGCAAGAGGATGCGGTCCGTTCCTTCCCCGATACGGATTTTCAATTTTTCATCGCCGCTACAGGATGCGAATACGGTCGGTAGTCGGTACGCCGCCGTCTCCGGTGGCCGGCTGGCTTCCAATCGACGGAGAAGCCTCTGTATCTTCATCGGAGCTGGAAAGTTTCGGGCTGCAAAATTAATGGTGAGAAACTCGCTGCTCGGCTTTTTATTGATTAACAAAGACGCGGCAAAAACTCGGTCACATACATACTGCCACGCCACTTTTAAACATTTCCCGACAAAAATTATATTACACCGTAAAAATAAAATAAAAATTCATGCAAGTATCAAGTATGCACATAATAATTCTTCCCAAATATGCACATAATAATTGAATAGCCAATAAATTGATTTAGATGATAGTTAATAGTTGATTGTGTTTTAATTTGACTAATTGATACTGTTAGTTGGTTATAGAAATGTATTTAATAAATTAATTGTTTGCTTTTAATTTATTATATATAAAATGTTATATAAGACATAAGTATATTGTGCTATTTATTTGACTCTTAAATAGTTTTATAATTTATTAATCAGTATTATTATTGTGTTATTATTAATTATTTTTTATTTTTTATTTTAATATTAATATTGTTATAATTATAAATAAATAATACGGAGTATGTAATTAATAATAATTTAATATTAAAATATAATAAACATAAGTTGTTAATAATAATTTAACATACCAGTTAACACAATTATATGTGTGTATTTTAGGTAGGGAGTTAATTCATATGTTGCGTTCTAGGCGATTTTAATGATATTAGAAATGTAAATTTGAATATAAATTGACTGAGTATAAACACCTCAATAACCAATAACTATTAAGGGTATATTAGAATCTTAAAACAAAATGCAATAAACTTGTATCAATAAGCTATTCAAAATATTTTTTTCATTTTTAGTTTATTGGCATCAATAAGTTAAGTCAAAAAATTATTTACCAAACACTCATATTAGATGTTTGACCAATCGTCAAATAAACTAAAGTTAATCAAACAAATTGAAATTTGATTGATAAATCATTTTCCAAATACTCTTTTAGTAAATTATTTACATAAATTGTGTGGGAAAAAAAAAAAAAAAAAAGGTGGCTAAAGAATTTAGTTCCTCGACCTAGAGGTTTCATACTTTCATGGATAGTCCATTGTATTCTTGTAGTTAACATTTTTTAACAAAAAAAAAATGAAGTAATGAGATTGAAATGATTATTTAAATGAGAGGTAGTATGTACGTATAATGATATAGCTTATATCTTATTTTAAACTATAAATAAAATATAACATTTTTTTAATAAAATATATAAATCTTAAATAAAAATTGCATTCATGCTAACTTATAAGATATATATATCAAATATATAGTTTATAGTAAAACCTTGTTGCACTGAGTCATAATTAGTTTTATAGTAGTGAGAATATCGTATGTCGTGTTAAAAAATAAAATACACATAAACTAACAATTTTGTGCATTGAAATGAGTATGGTAGTCGAGGGAGTGAAATATGTTTATCATATCAAAATTCCGATTATTGAATACACTATTGACTAATCTTATTACACAGATCTTTATAATGCGGTTTACATATCACATATGATTTACAACATATATATTATATATAAAAGCGAGTTTTACTCGTATGCGAGTTTCTTTCTTCACACACAATACACTAGTTGATTGTAAAATAATAAAAGAGTTAATTCCACTAGAGGCCCCTTGTCTTTGGTAGCAATTCCAAATTTAGTTACAGATTATCGTTTTTGCCATTTTACATCTCATACTATTGTTTTTTGGACACTTTTAGTCATTCTCATGATTTTTTATATTTTTAATAAGGACATTTTTGTCTCTTCATATTTTTATTTTGTTATTTTTTTTCGATTTAAACCAGTTTAATTGGTTTAGAACTTTAGGTAACCTCTGATTTTTAGTAATCATATTTTTCAACAAATTTTTAGTAAAGTCCTAAATCAATTAAACTGGTTGAAACCGAAAAAAAATAAAAATATGAAGAGACAAAAATGTTCTTACTAAAAATAAAAAAAAATTACGAGAAGCACTAAAAGTGTCTAAAAAATGATAGTCTGAGATTAAATTTGAAATTGTCACCAAAGACATAGGACCTCCGGTGGAATTAACTCAATAATAAAATATTGAAGGTAACAATTGAAAAGGAAAAAAGAAAAAGTTAAAAAAGCTGGGGCAAGATTGACATTTCATAGCCCAAAACCCTAGCTTTATTATCTCTACTCTTCATCTCCGTCAGTCTCATTCTTCGGTACTTGGCAGCTCAGGTTAACTCTCGGAATCTCTCAATCAATTTCATACATTGTATTCTTCTAATCTATTTGTTTATGCACACAGATACAAGGTTGTAATACTTATTTTCTGTTGTTTTTCTTTTTAATTGCTGAAACAGATAATTGGCAAGGAAGACAGGAATCTTCTGCCATGAGGTAATTTCTGCAAACTATCCTGGTTATATTTTACCGATATATGTATTTCGATTTGCGTTTCTGTTGATTTGCTGAATGGAAAGGTAGTTTCGAGTAGTCTGTATAAGGTTTCTGGTTAAAGTGCGAGGATTTGCATTCTAATTAACTGAGAGAACAGTGCAGATTTTAGGTGTTTTGTGCTTGATATTACTCAAAAGGAAGCTGCTTTCGTAATATTTTGTGATTTGTTAATACTTCTCAAGCTAAAGGATTGATCTTTGGTATTGGTGGCATTGTTTACATGGTGTGCAGTGCACACATTTTTTGCATTAAGAATTTAGATTTTGTAGTCCTTGTGCTTGTTCTTGAAGGTGTTGACCTAGTTTTGTTGGAGGGATACTAATTTAAGCAACTCTTTAATCTTCAACCCATTTTGATTGATGGAAGAATTTAGAGATATGGGTTCTCTTTGGTTGAACTGATCTGGTGTTGGTGGTTGTTTTTGTGTAGTAAGTTACAAAGTGATGCCTTGAGGGAAGCAATCACCCAAATAAAGGGGGATTCCGCTGAGAAGAATCGCAAATTCACAGAGACAATTGAGCTCCAAATTGGGTTAAAGAACTATGATCCTCAAAAGGACAAGCGTTTCAGTGGTTCTGTTAAGCTGCCTCACATTCCCCGCCCTAAGATGAAAGTGTGCATGCTTGGTGATGCTCAGCATGTGGAAGAGGTACAAATTCATTCCTTTTAGCCTAAATATTTTGGTTTGTATGAATTGTACTAAGTTTAATTGGAAAACATTTATAGATGGATTATGATTCAGCGGAGATGATTACTGTACTTGTGTATGTAAATTGCGTTTGTTTGACGTTGGATAAACTTGAAAGACATGACACGCTGTCTAACCATTATGTTTGCTTCTTGTTTCCTAGACTAGATTTCTTCCACATGTAATTGATCTGGTGCAATACTTTTTATGTAGAACAGAATACATTAAAAAACAAAATGTAACGTGGACAATTGACTAATTATAAATCATCGGTGCCTTTGGTGAGTGAAAGATGTTTGGAAAACTGTACTCTGACTTGGTATCACCGTCAATTTCTATACTGCAGGCTGAGAAAATCGGCATGGAATATATGGATGTTGAAGGGTTGAAGAAACTCAACAAAAACAAGAAACTTGTGAAGAAGCTAGCTAAGAAGTATCATGCCTTCTTAGCATCTGAAGCTGTTATTAAACAGATCCCTCGTCTTTTGGGTCCTGGTCTTAACAAGGCAGGCATGTATATCTTTTAATCTCCTATAACATTCCATTACATAGCTTTGGTACAATTAGTCAGATTGAATGTGAATATATTTGAATTTTGGCATAAAAAAGATAAGTTTTTGGTAATCTAAACTCCATAGTATTTTTGACGTTCCCTTTAGTTGATGGAAACCATGGATTCTTGAATGTTCAAGGCCAGGCTAATGCTTTTTCCCTATTACCACAGGTAAGTTTCCGACATTGGTTACACATCAGGAGTCCTTAGAGACAAAGGTGAACGAAACAAAAGCTACAGTAAAATTTCAGCTCAAGAAGGTGCTCTGTATGGGCGTTGCTGTTGGTAACGTCTCCATGGAGGAGAAGCAGATCTTTCAAAACGTCCAAATGAGCGTCAATTTTCTCGTTTCACTCCTCAAAAAGAACTGGCAAAACGTAAGTCCCACACCACACTTGAGTTCTGTTAGATCCGTTACAAGTTCATTTGTTTCCTTATACTCTGTCCTTGCTCAAACAGGTGAGGTGCTTGTACTTGAAGACAACCATGGGGAAGCCGGTTCGCGTCTTTTAAGTCCCTCTTGTTCTGTAGGGTGGTGATCCAAGAATGGGAGTCTTACCTTGTTCCAACAGCAATATTTTTGTTTTATCAATATCATGGATTTTACTGCTTTGGTTTTTACTGACATTTTACTTGGAGATAAGACATGAATTATATACTGGTTTTTATTGGATATTACTCTTTGCTGTTTCATTCGCAAGACTTCTATCACTATCAGGATTCTGAAACTTACTACACTATCCCTACTTATAATCAACCATCTTTATCAACAAGTGTAACCAAGGATCTAGTGGCTATGAAAATTTACCATTTACATCTTTTAGACACTAGTTTATGAATGTTATATTAAGAAAAGGTGCACTGAATTTTAAACTCAATTTCTGAAAATTATAAACATAAATTTAAACTAGAGAAAGCTGGAGACATTGACGAGAAAGATAGACTCTGGTCATGTTTGGTAATATAGTTAGTTTATTTGTAAGTTAATTGATTGATTTATTTGATCATTATTAGCTGTTTGATTTGGTTAAATACTTCATGAGTGTTTGATTAATTATTTTTTTGAAACAATTTATTGCTTTATAATGTTAAAAATTAAAAAAATACTGTTCAAAATAACCTTTTAAGAAAGTAATTATAATTAATTTACCAAACATTTTTTACAATCAGCTAATGCTATTAACCACTTACAATATATTAAAAATGAAAAGGTGATCGACAAATTTAAGTACTGAAATGTAATAATAAACACATTAACATTATTATTGTATATGGTATAATGATGCTTGATTTATCTTCTCATGGACTCGGAATATATATAGATTTATAAGGGTCATAATATTATTTGCCGGTGAAATTAAAAAATTTGAGTTATTAAAAAATAAAAAAGTTTCTCCACCAAAGCATATATACACACAAAAATTGCTTCTTAATGTCGTCATCTATTCTAAGCTAAGAATTCTGTAGATTTGGAGCTGCCATTGTCTAAGTCTCTTTGCATAATTATTTAAGGTGAGTGTAAAGCCAAACCTTCTGCAGTTGGAGAAAGATGCAAGATCTCAATAATGGCGGCGGCGGAGGTGGAGGTGGAGGTGAAGTTTACCAGATCAGAAAACTAGAGCTTTCCGACAAAGACAAGGGCTTCATCGAACTGTTGAAGCAATTAACCGTGTGCGATTCCGTGAGCGACAAAGATTTCCAGGGCCGGTTCCAGGAGCTCGCGAGATTGGGCGACGACCATCTGATATGCGTGATCGAGGATTCCCGGTCGGGGAAGATCGTCGCAACTGGAAGCGTGTTCATAGAGAGGAAATTTATCAGAAATTGTGGGAAAGTAGGGCACGTTGAGGATGTGGTGGTTGATTCCATGGCTCGTGGATCGCAACTAGGGAAGAAGGTCGTTGAGTTTCTCACAAATCATGCTTCTTCCATGGGGTGTTACAAGGTGATTCTTGACTGCTCTGAAGACAATATCCCTTTCTATGAGAAATGTGGATTCAAGAAGAAAGAAGTTCAGATGGTGAAGTACTTCACCTGATGGCTCATAATTTCAGATTTTTTTTTTTCTTTCTAAAGTTGAACTTCTTGTTGATTGGCAAATGTTAAAACCTAAAATTTACCTGCAATGAACTTTTTCTGGGTGTTGGTTGCTTTCTGCAAATCCTACAAAAAAATGACCAAAACAGAAATGCCATTAATAGCTTTTCTTTTCCTCCATTGTATGAAAGAGATATATCCCAAAAAACATGTCTTTGAATGGTATTAGCCTGTTTGGTAAAATCCATCGATTTTGACTTATTTGATCACTATTAGTTGTTTGATTTGGTTAAACAACCAACATAAGTATTTGATTAATTAACTTTTTGTAACAGCTTATTGTTCTAAAAAGGCTAAAATTCAAAAAACTACTCAAAACAATTTTTTCGATTAACTTTTACATATAATCAACTATCAACTAATTTACCCAATATTTTTTTACAATCAGTTAATACTATCAACTAATCAAATTCACTAACCTAATTAGCTGGCTATCAGCCAACAACTATTGTCTTTGTCTCTGCATAGTCTCTTCTTCAGCAGTTTCTTGTCAGCCCGTCAGTCCCCCCTTATATGTATACTTTGTGCACAAAGGATCTTCATAAGTCCCACATTGTTGCTAGAACAAGACTTTAAGTAATCGGTCGAATAGTCCGCCGGACTTTTTTGTGCTAATTGTTGTCAAGTAATGGGGAGATGTCATAAAGGATGCCACAAGGAACTTCACTTTTACCTTACGATTGCATCTGTTTGTCAACTGCAAGGTCGAAAGACTGATTGGTTTGCCATGTCAAAGAGATCTGAGTCAGAGCCTTCCTTTGAATAATTATCAAACTAAATATACTGAGCAGAAAGCATATAATGATCAAGTCTGAATTTTGCTTCTTAAAAAATTGCAAAAGACAAACCAATCCTCTCTTCACCTATTCAAGCCATATATTTTTTTCATCATTCCATTCTCTCCATAGTAAGCCCATTGATACTATGGCTCCGGCTTCATTCATACATTTCAAGATATTTGCACCAAAAACAGATCTCTCATCATGCTAATCAAGAGCACATATGGAGAAAATTGGTTCTAGTTTTGATGCCAGCCTCTTCTAATATGTGATTGAAACTCAATAAGTTATGTGTAGAACTCTTACCAATAATCTCTACATGAACATGATCCATCAATGAAACAATGGAAACGGTTAGTATCTCGCACAATAATTTCCCTACCCGTGATCTTTGAGATGAGCTTGATGGCGGTATGGCAATCACCACAAATGCGAAGATTTTTAATTACTCGGATCACATCATTCGGTTTAGTGCTGATTAAACCAAATGCAACTGCTAGCTTCTCACTATGGCAGCCCACAAAATGCTCCTTTTCCTCCTCTTCAATGTCAAATAGCACATATTCTGTTTTTGGAACATACCCTGCTTCCCTTAACTTTTTGTTCAATTCACCAAGTTTAGCATGTATCTTATCTGACATTGGATGATATTTATCTCCCACAAGAAACTCATGAACTTTTCCATCAACTTCTATCCAACTATATGCAGGTATCTTCTGAATTTTTCTTTCATTCATAGCTGATCTGATCTTCTCTGAATCATCCCATTTATGATCAGCAGAGTAAATATTTGACAGAAGAACATAGTTTCCTGAATTCCAAGGTTCTAACTCAATCAACTGCTTTAATACATGTTCAGCTAACTTGGTGTCACGATGTAAACGGCATCCACCTAATAGAGCCCCCCAAATAATGGCATTAGGCTCCATCGCCATACCTTTTATCAACGAATGAGCTTCCTCTAACCTGCCAACGCGACCAAGGAGATCAACCATGCATCCATAATGCTGAATTTCCGGATTCAAGAAATACAAGCGAGTCATGCTGTCAAAATATTGGCGCCCATCGTTAACAAGACCAGCATGAGTACAAGCACAAAGGAGAGCCATGAAGGTGTTCCTATCAGGATTAATCCCGTGTTTCTCTAATTGGCCAAAGCACGCAAATGCAGATCTAACGTGACCGTGCATAGCGAGGCCGGACATGACGGAGTTCCAAACAACACGGTCTTTCACCTTCATTTCTTTAAACGCCTCCCAAGCCAAAGCCATTTGCCCACATTTTGCATACATATCAATGAGTGCAGTGCCTAAAACAGGATTGAAGTGAAATTCTTTCCTGTCCAACAGGCTACTAGCCCACTCACCCACATTTAAAGCTCCCAATCTCCCACATGCAGAAAGTACACCAACCATTGAATAACAATCTGGAGAAAGGTTATCTCTTTGCATTCTGTAAAATAGATCCAATGCCTCCTTGGGAAGCCCATTTGCTGCGTATCCCTGAATCATAGCACTCCATGAAACAATATCCTTCTCAGGCATCTCATCAAACACATGGCGAGCTTTCTCCATGTTCCCACATTTTGAGTACATGTCTACCAAAGATGTACTCACAAACACATTCCTTCCTACTCCAGTTTCAGCCATATACCTATGTATCCACTCACCAGCACCCATATCCCCCAAATGACCACACGCAGACAATACCCGAACAAGGATGAAACTGTCAGGCACCAAACCCATCTCCAACGACCTATGAAACAAATCAACTCCTTCCCTAAACCTCCCAAGCTCAATATACGCACTCATTATCGCAGTCCAGGAAACCACATTCCTATCAGAAAGATCATCGAACACTTTGTGGGCGTCCTCTAAAAGTCCGCATTTCGCGTAGAAACAAACCAACCCGGTATTCACAAACACATCATAATCAAACCCCAGTTTCACTACAAGGCTGTGGGACTTGACTCCTTGTTCATAATCCGAAAGCCTGGCGCAAGATTTCAGAAGAAAGGGGAAAGTAAACTGGTTGGGCAAGCAGCTCATTTCACGCATCGAATTGAAAACGCCAATAGCCTGATGGAAACAATCGTTGGTTACGAAACCCCGAATCACAGTGTTCCATAGAAAGATGTTGGGGTGTTGGGTTTGGCTGAAAAGGAGCTTCGCGTAGCTTGGGTTGTGGAAACTGTTGAGAGTAAGTTTGAGTAGTTGGTTGAGAAGATAGTTGTTCTGGTGCAAGCCAGAGCGGAGAAGCCGAGCGTGGATGTGCTTGAGGTGGTTGAAGGACTCGAAGCCTTGAAAGAGCGCCGCTTTGATCTCCTGTAAGGATTTGGGAACGACGGCGTTCATGGCTGCTTTCACCTCCCGCCACTTGATTCAAACGGTAAACCCGCAAAATGCCCCCTTCCCTTTATATGCATTTCCATCTCCATTTTTCACAATTACTTTTGTTTATTTATAAAATTTGGTATTTAACCTTACAATGTGCAATGATCAGTTAGGAGTATTTTTTTTTTTTTTTAAATAAAAAAAATAATCAATTTTTTGTTTAATTATTTTTATTAAACTATTTTTTTTGTTTAATTATCAATCAATTACATTATTAACCAAAAATTGACTGTTATACTACTTACATGCCCTTGCCTATTAATAACGAGTCTAAAATGTAAAATCGTTCTCCTTGTTTACAAAAAGCAAAGTTTCATGCACAACAAGATAATTGACAATATAATTGAGGGATAAATCAACCCACCATATTAAGTGTAATTCTCACACAACCTACCATATTAAGTGTAATTCTCACATAGTCACACTATGACTATCAAAGTTCAATCATGTATTTTCATCCATAATCTCCCACTCAAAAACAAACTTAACTACTCGTGGACTAAAATCATTCTCCTAATTCATCAAGAGGTAATCCTCTCCATTAAATGCATTTTTTGTTGTTGTCTATAGATATTGGGTAACAATCAAAGAAAACCAATTGTTCTATTGAAACCAAGTAGGCATATATACATACAAAATAATAAGAGAATACATGCGCTTCCCATAAGTATCAACCTCCTGACTAACTCCGACTACCATACAGTACTAGACTCGCTCGAGAGAACATATACAAGCAACCGATAATAACATATTGTCTGTGTTTACAAGAGGGTGGTGATAGTAGTCGGGTTTGCAAAGAAATGCTCGCGCAAAATTAGCTTCGACTTCTTGAACTGGCTCCCGAGAAGGCCACTGAGAATGGCTGGGGGTGCTGGTGTTTTCTGAGCCATCTTCCGCACCATGATGTGGTTATCCAAAATCATCGTCTTCAACAGACTTCTGCAGCTCTGTAATGCAAGAAAGTGCATTAGTACTTGGGTAACATGTGGAAGGTTTAATGCCTTAGCATTGTAAAAAGAGTTGCCTACCTGTGGATTCAAAACATGCATCCGCCTTATAATGTCGTCCTGTGACATGAAAAAGAACTAGATTAAAGTGCAATTGGAAACAAATATACAGAGATAAAGAAACCAGAAGGAATCCCACATCAAAATTAATATATATCATGATTTTCTTATGTGATCGGAAACTCACTATTGATTGTTCAAAATCAGCTTTGCCACAAATCATTTACGCAAGGAGAAGTTGGATTGAATATACAATTTTACACAAATATTTGAAACCCACAAATCATTTATTCCAAATTTTGCACTGCATAATTTTATATTCTTATTTTTTGTCTATAGATAAGGAAATTGGAGGTATTCCTGCACATCATACTATACACACATTCAGTGTAAAAGAGCATACCTCAAGTATCCCTGGATTTTGCATCAGAACACCAAGAACACGGCGTACAAGTCCCTTGTAGACAGGTTCATTGATCGTTCCATCACCATTTATCCAAGGAAATATTATCCTATGTGTTTGAGAACCAATAGAATGGTCCTCCAATATTTTATCACTGTGATTTTTGGTTGGGGTAATAACTTCTAAATGCAAAACTCCTTCAGCATTATTAACTGTTTCCGTTTCATTCAAAGGTTCGGCAACCTCTTCATGACGATTTAGAATAGTGACTCTGTGCACCTCTTCATAATTTACTCTCATTTCCTTTAGTGAGGCAGCATCATTTTCATGATAGTCCATGTCATCTATGAACAGCTTGTCATCAATAGCCTCTTTGGAATTGCCAGAAGTGTGCATAGTTGCCATGGGTGTGGTTAGAAAATACTTGGATCGATATAAAGAATCAACCACATGAATTGAATCATAAGCATTCACCTGAATCAATGGCCAAAAAGAAAAAGAAACTGAATAAGATAATTACAAAATAAAAGCTCAAAACTCCCTTTTCAAACATTTCTTTTAGTATACTCTGTTTCAACACTCGACCAGAAAATATGGAAACCACCACTCCAAATGCGCACGCCATGTGCAATTAAGCACAGAAAGAATAAAACTATTTAGTAAGTAATTGACTTTATTCCAGCCTGGTCACAGATGTTTTGCTGTGAGGCCTATTTTAATGTCCTTTTATGTTCATGCTGGTGGGAAATGAGAAGCGGAAAGAAAGCGAGGTGGCTTGGTACAATCTGCTGGGTTTGGACTTTGGAGTACATTTACATGCATACTTTCAACTTTTTAAGGACAATCTGGTGATCTACCTTTACTTTTAAAGTAGCTGAGAAGTAGTTGTTACTCCAATCTGTGATCTGCTTTTTTTTTTTTTTTTTCCTTTTAGGGTGGGAGGGGCATAACCTTTACCAGAACTATGCAAAACTAAAGTACCCCAAACAAATACATGAAAGACATACCTTCAAAACTCTTCCAAATGCCTCAAGCACCCCAACAAGAGTTTCTGTCATCTTTTCTCCTAAAAAGGAAGACCACAGTGCAATCAACATCATGTCATTCACTTCACATATATTTCACCCAATTCAGATACAGAGTGTTAAACAAATAAGGCTAGAATTACCTACCTTGCAAATTTGCAGTCATGGAGATTTCTTTCATGCTCAAACCTTGGTCACCAGCCTTCTGAATGTCTGCGTAAACAGCCCTAAACAAGTCAGAATGGAACACATTATTTTCAACCAATCCAGAACCAGAGGTCCAAACATGTTCTGCATAACTTTTCATGGCCTCCCACGGTGACTCGGTGGAAAGAACTGCAGAATGGTGAGTCTCGCAATCAAGAAATCCCTCTTTGTGGTTCCATTCATCAGATTTGGATGAGATACCATCAACTTTTACACCTGAAGCCATACCAATTTGGTGCTCTTCAGAGAATAGGGTGAAAGCACTATTAACCTCTTTAAATGATTCCAAAGCTTCAAGTTTTGATATTGTTGCCTGTCTCAAACATAGGCTGATGCCTGGAAAACCTTTTGGTCTACGGGAGATAATTTCACTATCACCAGCCAATAAAGTTCTCAATTTCTTAGACCTCTCCTCATCAAAAAGCTCACTACTATTGGATTTTCTTTTAGAAGCCCTAGAGTCCTCGGCCTCTCCAACACCTTCATCTGGCAGGCAAGGAGTAATTGACAGTTCTCCTGAAGCAACCAAAGCACAGATATGGAAAACATCGCCACACTGCAAATCTGCTGGAAGAGTGAGCCCCTCTGCCATCAGGTCCTTTTTACTTTCACAGAGCAAGCTAACAAATTTAGCAGCTCTTTTTCCAGTGTTGATTGGAAATGGAGACGAAGAGATGCAATGCAAGAAGTTTTGAGAAAGTACAAAAGGACTACTGGCACTACCACCAATCTGCAAAAAGAAGAAGTAAATTTTTAGAAATTATATAACTGGAAAAGGACTGAGAAAGATTAATAGCTCAGGCACAGAACTCTCAGAACAAAGTTTGCATATCTCAGTTCAACATTTCTTTATGTTTAGCTGAAAACTTAACAAGACACTGGCAGCCAAGAGCATACTGTTGAAAGTTAGTAACAAAAGGAGACAATATTCACCATAATTTTCTTCTCTCTGAGATAGTTGAATGCTGAAAATAGATCATGCTCAGAGTAACGCCTTAAAGTTTCAGCTAGTAGAGTTGGCACCATTGGTGATTTTGAACTGTTGAGGAAGATGAGCTTAAAGAGCTCTAGAGCATTAGCAATTGCAACTGATTCATGTACCCGTTTACTGACTGTGATTCGGCCATTTAAAGGCTTAACAAACTTTTGAGCAATTCGATTGGAGCATGATTTCCGGCCAGCAGCTTTTTTACTCATACGAGCATGATTCTCAGTATCTTGGCCATGTGGAAACTGCAAGCAAGTGAAAAAGGAACCAGAAACATAAATATTTAAGTATATCCTAGATGCATTCAGTAGTCAATGGTGAAACATATGCAATAAACAAAATCAAGTAATGCTGGTGCTGCAAAGGGAGAGAGAGAGAGAGAGAGAGAGAGAGTTCACAAAGATCCAAATGAGTTATACAGGATCAGATTTTCGGATGAATTACTTGAACTGCAAATAAATGCAAACTAGGATAGCAGTTAAAGGTAAACATGTTATCTAAAGTTGGGATTAAATAGACAAAGTGAATGTTATTTACTAGTTCTTCAGAATTGATATCCACATCTGTGCACTTATCATCAAGAGGTTCAACTTCTTTTGACGCTTCCAATTTAGCCTTCTTTTTGAGCTGTAGAGCATCATCAAGAGCTGTCTTTACACTGTCATCATCAAAGTTATCCCATTGCTCATCAAAGACAAATTCTGTGGTATGTTTGGACCTATCACGAAACATCATCTTGCCACCAGCGTGATTTGATGATTGATCCTGAAATTTCTGAAGGTACTTCGCATAACGCTCACTAAGCACATTAGAGAGTCTCATTACAGCTTTTCTAAATTCTGAATTGCTCTTTAATAATGCCATTCTCCTTTTGCAAGCCTCTGGTGGTGCTGGAAGATTTGGAAGGGAGCCCCAGCCTACACGGTGAAAGTTTGCTCCAAGAGCTGCTCTACATTTGACGTATTCAATCACCAATTGCCTAAACAAGGATTTCCAAGTTAAATACAGTCACAACACCATTTCATAAATTGAAACTTAGACAATAAGAGGCCTAGGGATCCAGTATGCCAATGCAAACAACTAGTCGAGTGACTTGAGGAAAAAAAAATAATCAGGCTATCCTGATCAAGCAATTGAGTACAATCACAACAATCATATGGCTTCCAAGTTCCAACTTGGGGAGATACTCCCTCCATTCCAAAAAAAAAAAAAAACTATTTGTGTTTGGCATGGTTTTTAAGAAAACAAATAAGATGTGATTTTTTTTGTTTGCAAGTATAAATCAAATGTTACTCACCTTGTCGAATCATTCTAAAAAGTTAAGAGGCATAAAGGTTTAATTGGGAAAAGTAAGAAGTGTTTAAATTGGAAAAGTGGACATTATTTTGGACGAACTAAAAAGGAAAGTTGGGCAAATAGAATTAGTCAAAGGGAGTAATAAATTAATGCAAATTGATAGGGCTTGAAATCCATGAAGTTATAACCCAGTCACAATTACCTATCTGCACTTTCAGTCCAAGAAAACTTCCTCTTGATTGTTGCCTTCAGCTTTGATAAAGCAGACTTGTGAATGAAAGAATCATCATCGTCATTCTGTTCATTTGATTCTAGCTCTTCAGTAGCTCCAATACAATCACCATTCTGATCCATCCACAAATCGCAGCTGTTATTCATTGATGCCAGGGAAGAATCTTGAGCGTCATTTAACTGGTCTGTGTCAAGATCAAGCATTCCGGGAAGTAGTCTCTGATCCTCTCCAAAATCAGCACCATCAATTCCATACTTTGAGGATTTTGCTCCTGATGATCTTCTTCTTTTCCTTGAAGATGATGATTGTGTACTCTTCAAGGCTTGACTCTCTCCCTGCTCTAAAAACCCCTGAGATCTATCACGATGGCGCTTCCTTTTCTCATAAGAAACGCGAAGCACCTGCAAGTTGCATGCCACAGTTGATTCAAATGGAAAACCATGTAAAGAATATCACAGGTTTTTTACAGGAAAAAACATGTCATATGCCGCGTTTTAAGAAGCCATATATAAATACTGTCAAATTTTGACATCCAGTACTCAGTGCTGATCTGACAATTCAGTTATCTAGATATACACTAGATTCCTTGTCGAATATAACCTGTCAGCCTCTGTCTAATTATGTCAAAGAATGATTTTCTTAGTGAACTTTAAATCTACCCTTGAACTTGTACAGGAACTGAAGCAGGTCATGTCAATTGCATAAGATACCTATTAGCAAGGGGTTAAAGGTGCTGCAGAAAAAAACTAATAAATTACATCTCATGTATGTGCCAAACAACCATGGACAGTCAAATGTTCATGTGGCAAGACAACCTTCATTTCTTTGAGTTAACAAGTTTGTGTAATACTGTTAGAGAAAGAAATAGGTTATTAAAGAAGAAAAGTAACAGGAAGGCTCTTCTAGTCAACTTCAGATTATCAAATATATTTGTTGAGACATTTTTTATTTGAATTAACATGCCATGAACCATTTTGTATGAACTATGGTAAGCCAAATAGCAAGCAACACATCATATAAAACTACAGTGAAGTCAAAACTTTTTTTTGTATTATATGAAAGATTCAAATGATGAACAGCTTTCTTAATAACAACCACCCTCATCCAATGGAGCAACTTTATGCTACACCAGTAACAATCTAAATAAGCAGCAAAGCCTAAGAACCACATATATTCAATCAATTGACAAGACTGCATTCTAATACATTCAATTATCAGGTGATCTGGAGCTCATTGATCAACACTAGTGGAAACTAAAAAAAATTGGGAATAAGAGAATGAAAACCTGCTCGATTGTCAAATTCAGATCCTTAGCAATCTTTCCACACTCCTTGTATGAGAGTTTTCTATTTGAGTAATCACTGAAAACACGCTTAAGAAGCTTAGCACGCTGGTCAGCTGTCATTACCCTGACTGAAGCCCATGATCTAGAATGGAAAACCTGAATGACAAAATATTTTCCAATCAGAAGAAACAGAAAGGGTTTAAACAGGATAGAAGCATTCAAGAGAATAGAAAGAAATAGCCAAGAAATGGTCATAAACCATCTAGTCCAGTGGATTTCAATATGAAAACTAAGACCCGTTTACCTTTAGTAAGGGATAGAAAAGTTAAAGTCAAGTAATCTAAGCCAAATTAACAGATGGTCCGTTTGCAACCAGGCAAGGGAGTATTGCACAATTGCTAGCTATCTTCTTTTTAGCAAGATGTATTTAAATGCAATTACTTTTGAGTTTCAATCATATCAGAACAAAATTTTGAAAACTAGTAATATTAACAAGCTAGAAAGCTAGCTCACTTTTCTCTAGTTGTAAAAATATACATCCACCCCCAAGGAATGAGTCAGGATACTCAGAAGTACGCATGAGGCTTCCCTTGTGTGCTCTGGGCATATGATCTTCTTTCAGCCATTAGGCCCAGTAGTTTGCCTTTTAAAAGATGCATTTAGTTGGGAGGTAAGGGTTAAGATTTGTGCAACTACATGAACAATAAAACATGCCAAAACATCAGTCCCCTGAACATGGAGAGTGATGAGAATCGACAGGAGCCTCCTAGACATCTTGACAATGTCACTTTTTTCTTGGGTTCCATGGATTGGCAAAGAGGGTGACATGTGCATGTCAACAGCTCAGAACATATTAAATTTTCAAGGTTTTGTTTGTTTAGCAGAACAAGAGGTAAAAAAACCTGAAGGGTAAAACAAGATTTGTACACCTCTAAGGCATTATACCTGTAGAACAAAAGTCTCAAATACACATTTTTCCAGGTTCCTTTAACATCTCAAGGGGAAGCATGTGCAAAGAGATCATATTGAAGCATGGCAAATATCAACTACAGGACGAAACCAAAACAGCAACTCAAATGAAATGCTAGGTTTTGAAAAACATAGAATGGAAGAAAAAAAAAAAAAAAAAAAAAAAAAAAAAGAAGGTATTCAACTGACCTCATGAACTGCAGATCCAGGAAATGCATGTAAAGCAGCTTTCGGATTGGTAGCAGCATAACAATACTCTAAGGTTTTCCAGTATTCATCAACAGCTCTTCTGCTTGAAAGGACAAAGTCATGTCTAATTTGAGGGCGAAGATCATACGAAAAGAAACCAGAAGATGGGGTGATGGAGACTGGTTCCTCAATGTAAGGTTTAAGCTCCAATGAATAAATAAGCGTAGTTTGAGAGGTGTCAGTTACATCTGTTTTCTCACCACTAACGAGGCGAATTAACTGTCAAAGAATTCAGAGCTCATTAGGCATGCATGAAAAATTGGAACATGAAACTAGTTTCATGAAACTAACAAATATTTATGGATAATGACAATTTTTTAAAAACAATTTGTTTTCCTCCCCCCTTTTTAATAAGCATAAGTTGCTTCCTTTGTCACCTCATCTACACATGATATTTTTCCTCTTCAAAGGATAGAAGGACACAAATGAATATACATCACTCTATTAATATGATCTCTTCATTTTCCTTTTAATTACTGGCAGGTAGTGGGATGGTCCAAAATTGCACCATGCCACCACATATCAATATCCATAAAGATAAATAAGTAGGTCGAAGGGATTTCAAGTTAATCACTTGCACAAGTGTTTTTGTGTTCTCCAGAAAGAATATTTAAACAGATAAGCAGACTTTCCAATAATATGCAATAGAAGCCATGTCCAGAGAACAATCGAGAAATAGCATTGATTTATATTTGATCAAGAGAAATAAAATTTTTATCTTATGTTCATGGTTCTCTTAAATTAGCTTGCAGCATTTTTATGACTTTGTTCATGACTGAAATTCTCGAAAATAGCCTGCAGCATGTATATAATTCAAATAATGAATGTGTAGACCTTATACCTTTAAACGTCGTAAAATGTCAATTAGCCAAGAAAACCGTCCTGTTGCTCGCATATCCATCAGGCGCCTGTACTCCGGCCGAGGAAGATCAAACAGGCACAAACCATTCCTACATTTCTCTATCATGTCCTCAAATTTCTCAGTGGATCCCACAATTTGTAGAAACAACTCAAGTGGCATTGCCTTGATAGCTGCATTTATATCAATCAATTTACAAGTACTGTGTGGATTTTTCAAGTCATATCCATGCTTACAAGATGACAAAATATCATCACAACCAGGTGAACTACTGATGTAACCCCACAAGTGAATGTGAAGAAGCTTTGTTCGAACCATCTTTGCAATCACATATCCATTAGCACGCATCACTTCAAACTGCTCAGCTTGGCCGTCCAACTTTACATCTTTTGGGATTCTCTGAACATCATTAAGTTTAGGAATTGATTGCCCCTTTTTCAATCGAGATTGACTGCGGATTTGTGTTTCAAAAGATCTCATTTTTTCATGAATCTGACCGAGTACTTCAGGAGAAATGCTATAAATTGATGGGTGCAAGACCACCTCTGTTGTACGGCTGCGGCCACAGTTTGTGACAACAGGGACACTAACATGAATGCATTTGCAATGTCCTTCTTGCTGAAGCTTGTTCAGACACCGCTCTAAGGTTTTCCTGTCCATCATGCCACTCTGAAGACTCTCAAGCCGCCTATGTAGGTCAGGCTTTATAAGGAACTTCTCCTCCTGCCCAATGACGAAAAACTTTCAAGTGCTCATGTAAACATATGGATAGCATAATGCATTGAGAATATAAGAAGTAGTGGATGAAGGAAGAGACCTGCAACATCTTAAGAATCCGTTGTTCCCTCTGCGCAATGCCCGCAACCAATGTAAGGCGAGGATACTTACGACATGGTCGGCGTCCAGAAGGTGTCAACCCAGCAAGAGGCAATGTTTCATATGGAACAACATCGAGTGGTTTTGTGCTCACTATCTGTAGTTCTGCATCAGGAACTGTATAACTAGTATCGGGGTCTGAGTTTTGGGGTTTACTCAAAGAGAGCAAAGTTGTGCTACCATCCCCATCCAGCATCACATTATTAGGACCTTCATGTTCAACTTCTGTGATGTCAATTTTACTGGCATCTTTAAAACAACCATTGGAAACTGAGGGGTTTAGATCTTCAGCCTCCAGGCCCATTACATGTGAATTACTATCAGCATTTCCCTTCAAGACTTCTTCTGCATCCATCAGAGTTTTATTTGATGCTTCACTAAGGCAGAATCTAGATGTCCAGACACGGTAGACCACTCCTCTATTAGGACGTTCAGCCTGCAGATGCATTCCAAGTCTGGAAAATCCATTAAGAAGTCTTGTATAGTACCGCTTATTGTTTATTCCAAGCCTTCGGGATACCTGTTGCAACATTACAGGTATTGAGAAAAGAGTAATGGACATTGAAAATTCATGCCACAGGAAAGACATTGGATATAGATTGTAACTGAAGTACACTTCATGGATAAACCCTGATAAATCAAAGTCAAATGTTAGATTTTACATACTTCAGTGATTGTCAACCCTCTTGATCCCTCAGCATCAATCATATCATATATCTGATGCTCGATTGGGAGGTCTACAAGCTGGTCTGTAATTTGACCTCTCCTTGCCAATTTTGTTGGCTGTTCTGTGTCGAAATCGTCACATTCACGTGCACGAGATTTTGGCTCAAAATGCTTTGGTGAAAACTCCTTCAACAGGCGCAAGCAATTGACCTCCTGTTCATGATGAGAAATTGAAGAATAAATGATCTTGTATAATCAGTGTCTGCTGCCTGCCTCTACATTTATCCAGCTGTAAGCAATAAATTGAGTGCTAAAGCATATCTATGCAAATTTTTATATAGAAAACTAACAATAACAAATACTAAAACATATTCCCTCCAAATCTAAGCCTTCTTCTTTCTTTTTCAATTCATCACAAAATTTACAGTATCCATGAGACAAAACTTCATACAATTCATTCCCATAAAATCAAAATATTTACTATGAAAAAGTATACAGATCTCTCTTTAATATCTATGAAATTACAAATTTGCCCCTGACTTGTCAAAATGAGATATTAATATGGGGCAGATTGCCAAGGAATGAGAACTACATTCTTGATCTAGTAATTATGGTCCAACCTCTTTCAAATAGACATCTTTCTTGTTAGCAAAGCACCCCAAAAAATAAAATTTTATCTACTCTGAAATCAACAATTCTCTCCATCTCTTGCACCAAAAAAAAAAAAAAAAGGCACTAAACATCTAATTCCTTTAACTCCTTACAATTTTGCATGAAACGCTAAAGTTGGCATGCTTAGATGTAAACCCTTGCAAAAATATAAAATGATTATAGAAATACCAAAGTTGTTAAGATGAATACCTTCTCACTTACTTTACCATCTACTTTAGCCAAAAACTCCTCCACTACACGGGCCTCTTTCAACCTGTGGCAGATCTAACACCAAATGTAAATGGTAGTTACCGTAGTTATCATCCAAGAGAAAAGCATGTAATTAACAGAAAACAAAAATCACAATCTAATAAGATAAGAGCAAAAGTTACATTTCTCCATGATTTATGCCCAGCAGATCCTTTGTAACCAAGATCCCGCTTAATGTCTGAGACAACCAGTACCTTCAATGCAGAAAAACCATAAGGCCATAATAAGCACAGTGGTAGATATAAAACAAGACGCTGAATCGCTGATGAACAATACGACAAACCTTCCCCTCAGCTTTTTCAAGCTTATCACAGATAGCTTTTAGTGCCGGCAGAAAATCTCTTATGTGCACATCCTCTTTAGTGGATTCTTCAGAAAAACAGTCAACACTTGCCGCATTTCCATTGGTATTGTCGCCCTTGGTGATTTCAAGCCTTTGGTGACAACCCAAATGCTTTGCATATCGATACAAGTGGACCATATTGGTGCTAACAACAGAAGCATTTTTTGACTCCTCTCCATCATTGGATGCTTCTTTTGTCCTAACAACTGTCGACTGCCTTGTAATCATTCCACGGCTTTCTAGTTTCTTCAATATGTAGAAAATGTCATTCCCTCTAACACCAAGTTCTTTGGTAAGAACACTTTGTGTAATTCCGTTTCCCCTGCAAATGCATCAAGTTGAAGTATCTAATTAGCAATTCCAGTTACTATTTTGTATTTACTTACCAATTTTTAAAAATCTAGCTGTTTACTTGTTAATTTAAATAATTCAAACTAGTATGTACACACACAAATCCAAGAGAAATTAATGCCTATTCACATGTTTTGTCAATTAAAACATTGACAGATAATCAGCTTCAGTATTTACACCCGACTAAGGAATGATCCAGATACAATTTACGCTCTTTTACTACAAAACTAGTACAGCAGGCGAATTACAGAGAGACTAAGAAATAGAAGAGGGGAACCTGGCAATGGCGAGAAGCTCGAGAACACGGCGCTGCTGAGCACTGACTTTTGCATCGGAGGCATCAACATCATATATCCCGACGAAGCTATCACGGAGATGCTCGGGCGCAACGATTCTCAAATTCAGCCGTTCGGAATCTACCACCGAGCGAATGCAATCGTCGCGCGGGCCGTATGCGCCGCCATGCGATTTGAATTGGAGGTCCGGAATGTCAAGGAGGTTGGTCCATAATAGCTCCTTGAATTTAGGGCTCAGAGTGAAACCGTGGCTTGAGAGTGCAGGCTGGAGCTGCGACCAGAGCTCAAGGAGAGGAAGGCCGGCAACTCCACGTGAACATATCTCTTCCAGAGCTGCTTGAACGATTGTATCCATGGAAGCCAGGGAGTGCGAACATTCCAAACAACTTTCCGAGAGCTCGAATCAAACCGCTTAACACTATCTCCCGGACTCTATATTACTCCGTACTTTTTTGGGGGGCGCTTTGTAAATAAAATTCTGAAAATTTTACCCTTTAGTTTCTAAAATTGCATTAACATACCCAAAGGGAAATAGACTTTGCAATTCATTAATCCAACATATTTTGCATTTATCTCAAAAACACTGATCGAGTAGAGTATGACTTTCATATATGAAAGTCACGACTAAATCGTGTCAACACTTTATTGGTCGAGTCCATCACACAAAGTCTTTTTAGTATAATTTATTTTTCATATTTAATTTATTAACCATTACACATGAGTATAATTTACCTAGTGCATACTCTTATATTATTGTTGCGGACTTACGGGTTACTAGTCACATTAAATATTTTTTGGATCTTGTATAAAGCATGTGATAGGCAACCAATAAATACGTTATATTTTGAAGTTTATTTAATTAAAATATGTTATAAAAATATCTTTTTTTGAGAAGGCATTAGTCAAATCAAATAAAAATTTACTTGGCAATATAAGTTCAATATATTAATAATTTCGTTATATTTTGAAGTTTATTTTGAAATATGAAAGATAATGTTATCATTTTTATTCGAGTTTTAGAGATTATTATGAGCATATATCATTTTTATACAATCGATTTGGGACATGAGATTGATATTAGTAGTTGTATTTATTGAATGACTACTCAATACTACATCAAGACTCTTTTATACATGAATTACATGTTTACGGACACCTTTTGAAGAGTTTAAACTCATTGAGTTTTGCTAATATTTAGGGGTATGTAAACTTCAGTAAAACCAGTTAACCGACTGAATCAAATAATGTTAGTTAACATTTTTTTAACCTATATATAATTCGGTTCGGTTAATATTAAAAATTTTGAATAATTTCAATTAATTCAGATTGAAATTGTCAATTAATTGAATTAACCTATATATATATATATATATATATATATATATATATATATATATATATAATTCCTAAATATTAAACAACAATATTAAATTATTAAAAATATTAACCAATATGAGTATTATGTTGTGAATTTCAACATATCCTCATGTGAATAATGTATAATTGTAGGCTCATGCAATGCTCAAAAAGCGTATATAGAGAAATAAAGACAGAAAAGAATCATCTGAATACGATAACTCAAAAAAACTGATTTTATTGATAATTGTAAGTATATGTGCATCCGATAATGATTGTACTTAACACACTAAATAAAAGGGTAGTGGGACATTAATGGGTAGTGAGATAATGGGCATAAATTTGTTATATTTACAACATATTTGACTTTCTCTAAAAGTCTAAAACTATATTACAGAGTTGCACTTTTCTTAATATTAATTTTTAGGGAAAATGGCACTTTTTCCCCCTGAGTTATATACCTATAGCATTTTTGCCCCCTAAATTATTGAAGTGGCTATTTTCCCTCTTGAAATGTTAAATGAACATATTTACCCTTCAACTAAATATTTAATTTATTTTTTTTCTCCAACAAATTATGACCATAATTTGGTTTAAACCAAACAAACACTATACCAACCAAATCGAAATATTCCAATTACAATTTAGAATCGAAATCCGATATTTAGAGTTTATTAAAATCGTGAACCAGAACGGACGGTTCATGTTCCGAACTGAAAAAATAAAATACATATATTGTTGAATTTATACTATTTTAAAATAAAAAATAAAATTTTAAAATAAAGACGGTTCAAAATCGTGAATCGGATCCAGAACCGCCGGTTCACGGTTCAAGATTCAATTTTTTTGATACATAATTTTAATAAATTGACATTTAAATATTGGATTCTAGATCTGAATTATAACCGAAAACTATTAATTCGATTGCTATAGTATCCGGTTCAATTCAAACCGAACCGTGGTCATCCCTACGTATACGCAATAATTTGTTGGAGAAGTAAAATAAATAAAATATTTACTTTAAGGGTATAAATGTCAATTAAATATATCAGGGGGAAAAAAACACCACTTTTAGAATAACTGAGGGGGCTAATGTGCTTACCTAAATAATTGAGGGGGAAAAAATGCTATAAGTATATAACTCAGGGGTAAAAAGTGCCATTTTCTCTAATTTTTATTTATAATTCTAAAGATTTCAAAGTTTAGTTACAAATTTTAGTTGCCAAGCACCTTGTGCTCATATGGCATCCGGGTTGAACTCCCTTATGAAAGGTTATGAGTTCGAGCCTTAGTGGAGGCGTTATGGGCTCTTTGTGCTTTAATAGGTTGAGAAAGTAGCTATGAACAGATACTACATTGCAATAGAGTCAATCGCATTCAAAAAAAAAGTTACAAATTTTAGTTAGTTGGCTAACTATTATTATTTTTTATTAGATTAATTCGATAATAGAAATGTTGGTTCGGTTAATCGATCAATTAATCAAATGCACACCCATATTAATATTATTTGTGCCATTAAGTCAAAAAGTTGTGTAATTTTAATTTGATAGCTTTATTTTATTTTTATTCCATACATTTTTCTTAATGTAATAGAAATATTATTCTATTTCATACTAAATAATATTCATAATATTCTATACTCCATTCCGTGAATCAAACATGTTAAATTTGTAATAAAACTACACTAGATCACTAAGTCACTAAGAGGACCTAATATGGAGAAATAAAGCTCATAGGCTACAAAGGGCAAATAATACCCAAATTCTAAGCACGAATTCATAAAAAGAGAGAAATTACGAGGTGTTATCTAGCAAATAAATCGTGCGGAACGCCGCGAAATTGCAACTGCGCGCGAAAACGATAACCGCTACTTCCTGTTTGGATGCGGATCGAACTCGATACCAGAGAGTGAGCTATAAACTGTAGCCTGAAGATGCTCGTTTTTAAATTGCAAAGCTCAATGAATCGTCACGGACGGCTTTTCCGTCTCGCACCGTATTGAGCGGCATGTCCGATCACCGCCGCAACCGTCAAATTCAGCAACAAACACCACCGGCGGAGCCTTCCGAAATCCGCGCATCTCTCTTCTTCGCCCTGGCTGTCAAAGCGTCGCCTGTCTCCATGGACACCTATAGCAGGTTTAGTAGGTGTTTAAGTTTTTACTTCTGTTAAATTGAACTTTGATGACGTAGTTTAAAACACAGAAGTTGTCATTTTTGAACTATGGCTTCATGCGTTATAGAATCCCATTGTTTAAGTATGCAATTAATCTGCATAGTGGACATTCCTCAATTGAGCTATAAGAAACTGTCATTCACTACTCACTAGTCTGTAGGCACTATGGTTGTATAGAATTGAAGACTAAGTAGGAAACATTTGGAATTGTATTAAATAAGACAATGAATTCTGATCCACATTCTATTTTCCTACCAGTAATGGTGCAATAATAGTGTTCCTAACATCAACAATGCTATATTTGAAATTAAACATAGAACGGTGAATGAGTTGCTAAAATATTAAATTTGGATTGATTCTAAACTCAACTTTTGTGAACTTGTGCTTGCAATTGCTATATACTTTTCATTTATCGTAGACATCCTACTTTTTGGGGGGTGACGAGGGAAACCCGCAGCCACTACCCAAGGATGTGCACTAGGTAAACTCCGCCTTGTGACCCTAGTTAGCAAAGGACCACAAGGAGGTAAACCAACCTAGGTTGCCATAGCTGACCGGCTCAAACCAAGAAAGGGGGATTCAACCTTGTGGTTACAAGTTTGTATTCTTAGCCATCTTGGCCGGGGTTACCCCTATAGATGTCCTACTGTCCTACTTATTTGCAGTGACCCTTGCTCATGTTAAAGCTATGTTTATCATATATTCCGCTGATCCACCTCTGTGCTTATGTTTGCATGTTTTACAGTGTTGGTAAATGCACAGTGCCGGTGGTATGCATCATTTGTTTATTTACTGGTCTCTGATAGACAAGTATCATATTATCATGATTTTTCACTTGGCTCATATCCGCCATAATAAGAAACTTCATAAAATTTCAAGAAATATCTTGGTAACTTATCTCCTATCCATGCCAGATGTCAATTACATCTTAAAGTAATCTTTCTGTTGACATTTAAGTTAGTTTCATGTATCACCATAGAAAAAGCCAGAGCACAAGGTTGGTAGGTGCAAAATCTAAAGAGTTCATGGCTTACAATTGCTTTTATTGTTAATGCACCTAGGCGAGCATTTGAAGATGACTAAAAAAATGTTATGCCTTGTTAGGAGAAAACACAATCTAATTATCCCATTTCTGGAGGAATTCAAACACTGAGAAACCAGAAACAATTAAGGCTTGGCTACTTAGCTCCCCATGCTACTGTTTGATTTCTCTCCAGAGGTGTGTTTTTGATTGGTTACTTTGCTTGCCCCTTTGATTAAGGAAAGGTCATATTTATTCCATATTCCTTGACCGTCAACAGCCAAAATTCACCCTAAACTTTCTCCTTCCCACACCCACCCTTCTTCCTCAAGCAGAAAATCTAGAGACAAAAAATCTGAGGTGTGTGTGTGCTCTCATGGAAATTTACTGTGTTGCTTGGATACCTAGTTAATAGTTTGGGGCAGGAAACATTAAAAACATGCATTATTGAGTAGATTTATGAAATCAATTTACCCATTGGGCTTGCTAAAATAATCATTAATATAATTCAGATCAAGCTGCACTAAGAACAGTTCTGCCATTAGGTTCTACCCACATTTACCGGCCAAGTTAACCAATCAGTTGGCCTCAAAGTGGCACATCATAACTGGTGCATTTAATAGAGTTTTTAAAAAAATGATGAAAATGAAAATCTCACTTGGATTCAGGATGATGTTTGTTAATCAAGCTTATGCAATTCATGGGATAGCCATCAAACCGTAACTTACTTAAGCTCATGTTCTGATATTCTAATGTAAAGGCTACTTTTCAAACAGGTCCAGACACCTGTTAGACCTGACTGCAATATTCTCCAGTTCTTCAGAATTTCTTCATCATTGGCAAATAAAATCTCTTGATATATACACCAAATAATTTGCGTTGTGGCATATTTGTATATCTTCTACAAGAAACAAACATTTTTTCAATGAAAATGAGAAACTCTGTATATTCTACAAATACCATATCTGTCATATGACCTGATGAACATGTTATTAAATATTTTGCCATAATTTTGAGGGGGGGAAACAGAAATAACCCCAGTAACCCCAGAATCCTATTGATAAACCAAAACCATTTAATTTGTTTAGCCTGTTCTGTAATTAAACTAACCATAGAATGTCCGATTCCCTCTTCTGCATTTTCTTGCTTCGAGACAGGTCTTCCTATCTTGATTAGAGTGATACAAACATGATTTCAACCCTAAGCTTGTGCTGAACTTATTTATGTGAGCACTTTGGCCCTCTAGGCAAGGTTTTTCTCCCTATTGAAATTTTCAAGATCTTACATCAAGCTAGATATCTTATCATTTTTATGTCACCTTTCCAAATTTGGATTGATGAAAGAGACAAAAATAAACTCAAAGATGATCAAGTGCGTATAACTGTATATATACATCCTGTTAATTTTGTATGTTTGTGTTTTTATTTAAGGAGTTCATGTTTTTTTGTTAAACACCCCAAATAGTGTCTGACTAAAAAAAAAAAGAGAGAGAGAGAGAGAACAAGTTTCAGTTCTCCATTACAAGAAGGAAAATTAGAAGATGGCTTTGAAGTATCTGAGTGAACTCATCATATTATATCTATTATCTTTACACTATCTCAAGGTTTTTTTCTGCATCTCTCTCTCACCATGGGAGGTTTAAAAAGATGAGAAAGCTATAAGCTAGTCAAGTTCAGGTATACTGCCCAGCATTGGCTTCCATCCCTTGCAATTTGCTTCCTCATCAGCTGCACATCTATTCAATTCATCTGAGCTTTTTTCCTTTTGAAGATGGCGAACCATGTCATCAACTGATATCTGATCTTTACTCAATAGTGCTTGCAACTCTTGCTTGCTGATGATGATCTTAACCCTTACCACTCCAGTCCCTTGTTGATCAGCTTCTTCAACTTGATCTGCAAACTTGACCTTCTTTTTTGCAGGTTTTGGCCGGGGGACTGGTAGTGGCAGAAGATAGTACAGGCGGCCACCAACCATCTCAGTATCTGCACGTAGATGCTGGACAACAGGTAGTGAATCAGATATTGCATGGTTAGCAAATTCTGATAACACTTGATATACTTTCATGGGAGCTTTATACTCTAGGATCTTCCCGTCTGTTTTCATGACTCTAATTACATTTGCCTGCAAAACTAAGCAATTTCCCATGTTTTTGGTAGGGCTTGCTTTAAAGCTAAGTATTTGAGGTCTTTCGAGTACTAAGGTTGGTGAGACCATGGTTGTGTATTTATAGTGAAGAGCCTATGAGAATTTCCCCATGATTTTTAAATATTCACAATACAGCCATTGCACTTTGGTCCCCACCGTGTTGATTTTTTTAGGCATACAATAGGGGGTTACGAGTAATCATTTTTGCACTGAAATAATAATGATCTTTGGAAAGAAAACTGGTCTAGTTGCTTTGCCGAGTCAATATGAAAATTTTACTGCTATTAATAACAACACAGTTATTAGCGTGGAAAATTTTAAATTTACACGGTATATCATATATGATAACAAGCAAAAACAGCTCTGCACGAGTTTCTCCATTTATTTGTTTTTCATTTTTTGGGTACGTTTGATGGGAAAATGAACTGAACCTGAAACCCTGATACCGTTGGACTACAAAATCATTGTTAACTCTCTTAACTTTACTGGACCTGGATTAAGGATAAGAGTGGCAACAAGTTGATAGAACAGATCATTAACAGGTAACAGTAGAGATAACCCAACTGTTTTCAGAACTTAAATTTTATCTTTCTTTTTGTTTGCTTTAACCCACTTGGTGGTTTAACGTATGGTGATTAGTTCATTTGCTCATGTTGTGGTGGATAGTGGGATTTCGCCAACACCATTTGTTTCTTTTACAGGGAGAGATCAGTTCAGATCTAGTAGGACCACTAAAGCCATACTGGGGATTTGGAGTTTGACTACTCTGCACCGCAAATTGGTAAACTCAGTTGACTCATGTTTTGCAGCATTGACTATTTGTTCATTTCTCTTTGGCAGTATTGTGAATTTGTGATTTGTTTCAATGGAATTTCTCACAAGGTCCCCTAGCACTATCCGGCATAATTATAGTGTTAAAATAAGACTTGTTATCTGATAGTTAGGTATGTTTTATTTAGAACAATACTACGTCGTCTCAGCTTATTATACTCATTATAATTGTTTTTACGATATAAATATACTGCTTAACCACCACAATACTCGATACTCAGGAAGTCAAAATGACTAATGTACATGATTGATGCCCACTTGGAAATGAAGAGATGAGAGGGCATGGATAATGGTGGTAGAGCATAGAGGAGGAGGTTGAAGAAACATGCCAAGTAAGTGGTAAATGATGTTATCATCACAACATGCTTTGGTATACATTGGGGTGGGGTGCAATTTATGTCTCATTTTTTTACTTTTTTATTTTGCTTTGAGTGGGTTGGCTCATTCCTCTTATGCATCTTCCTAGAAAGGCAAAAGATTAAATGGGAAGGCTATTGACAAGCTGAAAGTTACAAATGGATAATCCTACATGTCCACTAATGTGCACTTTGCAATTATGTCTTGAGCATTTCATTTTCGGATCATGATTTTCATTGAGAATTTTCGAAAACAATAGAAAAGTAGTTTTAGTGTGCAGTTTAACATACATTGATTGACATAATGTATTACTATTATTTTTTTAAAATTTTTATATAAAAAAATTGTGATGGCTTATGCAGTTATGATTGATGTCCATGTCCATAGCACACCTAAAAGCAAGGTAGAAATTAAATTGGTGAAAATAAGAGAAGAATAATGATGGAACAATTTATATAGTTTTTGTTTGGCTATCAATTAGAGTTGTCAATATGACTTTTAAAAAAAGTGGGTCGAACTAAATTGGCTTGAGGTTTTCAGGCTGGGTAAATCCCAACTTAGTCCATCAAAAAGTAGAATAAATGGGGTAAACCAGCGAGTTGGATCATTTTGACATCGAGAAAAGGGTCAAATAAATCCCTAAACTTTACCCTAAAGGTCAATTAGCCCCCTAAACTTAAAAAAAAAGGTCAATTAAACACTCAAACATGTTAAATTTGGTCAATGAAGCCCAAAAACCGGTAAATGACCTGTTATTACAGGTCATTTTAATTCTGGCGACGAAATCCGGCCACCGGTGACAGATTCCGGCGACCGGCGAATTTTTCCGGCGACCGGTCGTCTTCCACTGGAGAAGACGATCGGACGGCCGCCTTCTCCAATGGCGGCAGGCGGCCGTCTGCGCCTTCTCCATTGGAGAAGACGACCAGATCTGGTCGTCTTCTCCACTGGAGAAGGCGGCAGACGGCCGCCTGCCGCCTTCGCCGTCCGGTCGTCTTCTCCCGCGGAAGACGACCGGACGGCCGGAAAATCTCACCGGCCGCCGGAAAATATAGTCGGCCGCCGGAAAAATGCGCCGGTCGCCGGAATCTGTTACCGGTGGCCGGATTTCCTCGCCGAAATTAAAATGACCTGTAATAACAGGTCATTTATCAGTTTTTGGGCTTCATTGACCAAATTTAACATGTTTGAGTGTTTAATTAACCTTTTTTAATGTTTAGGGGGCTAATTGACCTTTAGGGTAAAGTTTAAGCCATATAAATTTACTTTATTTTTTTTGGGTGCAAAATCAACTTTATTTTATAAGTAATATTACACACTCCTCCTAATATTCAACTCGACACTATTTGATACGATTTTTCCCTATTAAGTAGATTTCTTTTTTAATTCGTAATGATATCAACCAATTTATGAACATCAAATGAAAATGAATAGTTTTATTGCTATGTTAGAAGTTACCGTCTAAAATATCTTCATGCACTGATAAAAAGTAATATAAAGATTATACAATGTTGTCCAATAACATCTCTTTTATTTTTCAGAAAAATCTGGTTATGGACATTTGTAACCTTTCACTTACATTAAACAAAAAAATCACTCCAACCAAGAATGATATATCATAGTGCTCATGTTAGGCCAACAATTAAGATATTTTGGATGCATTTTTATTTTTGGATGACAAGAGAAATTTGTAGCCAATATTTGAGGGTAAGTACTATGTAAATTTCATTAGCTCACAATTTATATTAGAGAGGTTATCTGCACAAAGATCGTACCATATCACCGGTTTAATTAAAAAAGTGTTTGCAAAAACTAAACTCGTGATCTTCTATTATGACAATTATACTTCACATAATATACTTAATCATTTTTTTCGGGTTAGATACACTTTTTGGTGTGTGATTCTTTGGGGTTCAATAATCTTTCCTGTCGTTGGGTTCCTCATCACATCGATTGAGTGCATAGATAATCAGATGCGTACTAGGTGGGCGGTGGAAAAGGAGTTTATTAGGTTTGATATTTTTGGTTTATTTTGGATAGATATTTGCACAAAACCTTATAACGTGGCATATTGATCCAGTACATATGAGCTTTTGTGCACAATGATATGAGCATTCGTGGGTCCTATTTGTTATCTTCATGTGGATTTGGAAAGATATTTGTCCAATGAAGATGGTAATGCTTCAACTTGTTGGGCATGAAATTTGGTGGGTCTCTCGACGTTAAATTTAAATTAAACGGTTCAAATATTTTTTATTCAACATAGTACTTTGTTTTTTTTTTTTTTTTTTGGGTGGGGGGGGGGGGGATAATTATTGATTATTTAATAGTAATATGTATTGTATTAGAAGAAGAAAATTATAATTTTTATTGTTTAGTTGACAATTTTTTAAAATATGAGATTTGATTATTTATTTAATTAAAAATTCATTCTCTAATTAAAAACGAGTATTATTTCATCTTATTCCTCATCTGATCTGTTAGTTCCCGATCTGCCGCCTCCTCATTACATCCCTCATACTTTTGTTTTGCTTCTTTTTTTTTTTTTTTTTTTTGTTTATATTGGTGCTTTAGATGTCATTATATTATGATCAATTGCCTTGATTTTTTGTTTTGTATTTTTAAAACCTGTATTCCTATTATAGGATTATACATAACCAAACATTAATATTAGTAATCATTTCAATTCCACCCTACTACCAAATATGTAAAATATTTTTCACCAAAATCCATTATTATTACCAAATATTTGATTCACATTCCGATTCCAGCGAACCAAACACGTGCTAAATGTATACACGTAATTCTTTTGTTTTTATTTGTACTATTATTGAAAAAGAAGCAAAATGCATGCCTACTTCTACTACGATATAATAGTAATACTCCTTAATAATAATAATAAGGCATGCTTTTGCATATACATTTCTATAGACTATAATAACACACTATAGAGTTTGATGTTTCATGCTGTTTTCTCCCCTTCGATCACTTTGAACTTTCAACTATATATATCATCATGGTCTTCATTTTCTTTTTCTCTTCCCACTTTAGTATTATTCACATACCACAAACCTTAATATAATAATGTTAGAAGAATTGAATTGTGACTTGAAAATAGTGATTGAGTAGGTGAAACATAATTCTCATACTAAAAGGCTATGAGTTTGATTATTATTAACACCTCTTGGTCGAACTCGTTGTACATGATCTTTTTAGTGTAGTTTATTTTTTGTATGTAATTTGTGATTATTATACAAAAATAAGATTTATCTCGTATGCACCATCATATAATAATTGTGAATTTCTCGTGACCTACAAATTTGAATTATTAAATCTCTAAAAAATTGTTCATTTGTTAGAATATAAGCAAGTACAATGATGCTCTTGCGTTCCTCATCCCCACCCGGGTTTAAGGTAGAAATTTTCACCCCTAACCCTAAGGTAAGCCAATTTCGCCTAGTCCGAGATGACGAAGAAATTTCTGACAAATTTGGAGCATTTTGACGAATTTCTTATTCACTTTGAGAAATCAACGATACTTTGAGTAGTTTTTGGGGTCTCATCCTCGGTCGAAGACAAAGAAGGTTCTTCGTTCCGCTCTTCGTCTTCAGACTGTTGGAGACGAAGTGGAATTTTTTTTTTTAAATTTTGTTATTTAAAATTATTAAAATAAAAAAATATTTTTAAATATGATATATAACCTCCACGTCAACAAAGTAAACATGTCACTTTTGGTTGAATTGTATCATTTTGCGTTGTTCAAAGATCATTTTTTTTTTTTTTTGAGTTCAATAACTTAATTATATTTTTGTGTAGTTCGATCAGTAATTTATTTGCCCCTTATTGAAATACGCTAGCAAGAAAGATCGCAAATTATGCCATGAAATCGTGTTCACCGAGAATGGTGAACACAAGGCAAAACGACGTCGTTTTTAGGCAAAAAAAAAAAAAAAAAAATCGCGGATGTGGAGTTAACGGCGCGCGTTTGATCAAATTATGAATTTTCTGTTATGAGATTATGAATTTTATGAAAATTCATAATCTCATAACAGAAAATTCATAATCGCATAACAGAAAATTCATAATCTCACAACTGAAAATTCATAATCTCATAACAGAAAATTCATAATCTTATAACAGAAAATTCATAATCTCATGGTTCCAAAGTGAATGTGTAGGCATGGTTCCAAAGTGAATGTGCAGGCATGGATTCATAATTTATGAATGTCCGTGATTTCGGACGGAAATATGTAGGCATGGTTCCAAAGTGAATGTGCAGGCATGAATTCATAATTTATGAATGTCCGAAATTATGAATGTAATGAAAATTCATAATCTCATAACAGAAAATTCATAATCGCATAATAGAAAATTCATAATCTCATAACTGAAAATTCATAATCTCATAACAGAAAATTCATAATCTTATAACAGAAAATTCATAATCTCATGGTTCCAAAGTGAATGTGTAGGCATGGTTCCAAAGTGAATGTGCAGGCATGGATTCATAATTTATGAATGTCCGTGATTTCGGACGGGAATGTGTAGGCATGGTTCCAAAGTGAATGTGCAGGCATGAATTCATAATTTATGAATGTCCGAAATCTTTGTTCACCTCAAATTAAAGTGAAACTGCAAAATGTGAAAATAAAGAAGAAAAGTCACGCAATTAATTAAGAAAAAAAAAAAAAAATAACGGTGTACTAACACCGTTGGAACCGTGTTCACCATGAATGGAACATGGTTCCATGGCATAACGTCCCCAAGAAAGATGAAATTGCCCATGTATATTCTTCTTTTGGAAAGGTATTGCCCATGTACATTCAAATTCAATAATGATCACCATTACGGAAAATCTAACAATATCTTAATTCTTTAATTGCCCACTAATTTAGTCTCTCGAATAAAAGCACGCGTGATTATTAGTCGTTTGGTAGCATTTGATGGGGCAAGCGAAAGTGAAATTTGAGTCTAAATCTCTTAAGTAAAAAGAACTACGGAGTATAATTTATTAAGATGTTATATATATCAAACTCTAATCTAAATTAAAATAAAATAGTAATGGCCGTACTAACCATACATTAAGTAAAAGTAAGCACCTTATACTTTCTATTATTTTGTCTAGTAAATAAAGTGTTTGTAAAAATCAAACTCGTAATAACCTTTAAATGGAAGAATTATGATATGCACACTCACTCATCCCCTTTTCGGGGCTGCATTACCAACCATTTTATTATTACATTAACCTTAATTAGCTTCTATCCATTCATCATGAAATATCACTCTAATACTATATTTTCATTCTACAAAACCAAACATGCTATTAAAAAAATTAAACCTTGCATGTGACATTCTTACAACACATTTGCATAATTAAGAAAAAACAATAATCATAGTGTCATACATAATAATATCATATATAACTCATCCTAATTAACTATACTTTGATAAAATTATACTACACTCTTTCTTTATATCACCATCATCAAACATACACTACCATTATATAAAGCACATATATAAAAGTCTCCTATTTCTAGATAACTATTATAACCTATGATTTTATAACCTATGATTTACAAGTAGTATATATAATCTCTATTTTCTTTTTATTGTATTAGTAAATCCAACGTGCAAATCATCATATCATCTTATGCAATATAAGACTTATGCAAACACCCTAAAAAGAGTGACGAAGTGGATCGAGTATAATTTTCGTATCAGAAAGTCACGTTTTAGATTCTCACCAAATTTTCTCAATTAATCTGTCACAGGGCTTGCTTAAAAACATATTTACTTAATATACACCAAAAGAAAGGAAAATATATACTCCATATAAATATATATATATATATATATATATATATATATATATATATATTTATTTATTTATTTAAGATCATATGAGAACACTTATTTAGGTGAGAATGTGAGAATAAATCGTGTGCATCCATCTAATATTTTTAAATTATCTAGATTAGATTAAATGTGTGCGAAAGCAAATTAAATATGTGCAAACGTAGTATATATAAAGAAAAAAAGAAGAAGATACGCAAACAGAAATGAGGAATTAGTAAAAGCTAGCTAAAAGAAGGCCGGTTAGGGTGTCCAAGTACAGGGTAACTGCAGGACACAAAAATGGAAAATCTACAGAAACTGTACACATTATCATCAGACGACATATATATTCCATTGTCATCATCAAACGTCCCTGTCGTGTTTTGCCGCCCACACTACCCTAAAGTGGAGGACTTGGTTTTTCACATTCTTTAATGAATACAGTATTTTTTTTATTATATATATATATATTATTGTTACACTATGCCGCATTTCAACCTTTTGGGTTCCCAGTTTGGACTATTTTGCAGAACTTAGGACCATTTATTGGTCTGGTCCCCCATCTGCATGCTATTACAAGCCCTGCCATGGCGTAAACGACACCTGTCGCCGCCGTGTTGGGCGGCCACCGCCTGTTAGACTACTTGTGCATTTTTTTTTTTTTTACATATATTTACTTTTACTTGTTTGGGTATTTAAAAGTCAAACAGACAATTCTATATAGACAATTTAAACTTAATTATATCATGCAATTATACTACTCCTATTTTTGTACAATTAAGGGGAGTGGTAATTAAGCATGAGACTTGTATAGTCTCAAATTGATGGTATTGAAATATAATATAATGTCTTTGTCAAAACTTGATTATGAAGTTGCACCAGAAATTAGGGGTGTGCAAATTTCGGATAATTTTCGGTTAACCGACCGAACCGACAAAGTTCGGTTAACCGTTTTCGAACCGAACTTTTTCGGTTCGGTTAATGGTTAAAGGAATTTTAAAACTTCGGTTAACGGTTAATTCGGTTCGAAAGGTCGGTTAACCGAATTAACCGAACGGTTAACCGAAGTTTTTAATATATATATAAATAATAATATAAATATAAATACTAATTTGAAGTTATGGATGTTTGGAGTTTCTAATTAATGTTTTTGTATATTTTGTTATGAATTTATTATGATATGTATTTTATTTTAATTAGATTTATTATTTTAGGTGTTATTTTTTGAATTTTAAATTTTAGCTTTAAAAAGTTCGGTTAATCGGTTAACCGACCGATTAACCGAAAAAAATTTCGGTTCGGTGAATTCGGTAGAGCAAACTTCGGTTCGGTTAACGGTTAAAGGAAAAAAAACTTCGGTTAATTCGGTTCGGTTAAAACGGTTCGGTTAACTGAACGGTTAACCGATTGAACACCCCTACCAGAAATTGAAGTTAGAAATTAAACATACATAATAAGCTAAGCACGACCGGTACCTGCTGCTTTCATGCATGCACCCTAGCAGGAGCTGCGTGCACTGCATTGCAATCTTAAAAGCTAAGCATTATATGCTTTATTGCGTTAAAGCCAAACTTAGTTGCGATTTACGGTTCCGATTGACATCGATACATTTTGTATTCAAGTACAATCACATATTATATGTCTGTTTGTACTAGATATTGTAAAGATAAGTGATGATATTACCTTATACGATTTAAATAGCACATATTGTTATATCTGAACAGGTACAAAAGACTTCGATGGTGCCATTTGATATTGTAAGAATTTCTTACGATTTAATATAATATATTACACAATCAAATAATTAACGAATATTTTTGTGTCAATGACCTTGTGGTTGGGTGGTATGAAGTGACTCTCCCCATATAAGAAGTCATGGGTTCAAGCCTCAACTTCAATATATGTACACTTGAGAAAGTGTGACCCTGATATTGACTCTTTGTGCCTTTTTGTGCTTTAATAGATTGAGAAAGTGTAACAGAGTCAATAATACTAAAAAAAAGTATATTTCTATTATTGTAATCAATGAGTATGTGCACCATAACAAATTACGTACAATACATTCATACATACGAGTATCAACAACCATTCTACTATTGACTATACTACAAATTCATTTTTTGAAAGTTTATTTTTAATGTGCTGCATATTCATTTTTAGGGTAAATTATTATGTGGACCCGCGTCTAAAATACATAATTTATATATTAAATATTCACAATTTTACATACTAAAATACTAAATATTCAAAATTTACATACTAAATGTTCACAATTCAAAAAAGAACATTTTATAAAAAATGAATAGGAGTATTTTATATATAAAAAATAAACATTTATCAGCAATTCATCTTACAATGTGAAATTGTGGACTATGGTTCAAAGTATAATTTGCCATTTAAACAGTTTTATCAGATAATTTGGCATCCACTAGAATAAGCCCGGTAGGCTGGGCAGGTTACATGAAAGTCGAATGGGCTTTATAACCCAACAGAGGGAAATTTCTTCTGTGGGCTCTCGTAACACAGGCCCATACACTGTGAATTTGTTTGTTTTTTTAATCTTTTAATTTTTTAATTTTTTAATTTTTTAATTTTTTAAGTTTTGAGTTACAGACTTACAGTTACGCTTCAGCGATGAAGTTTTAGCGCCTTCTTCAATCCGCCGCGAAATGGAGAAAATTGGAAAAGTTGGCTAATCATAGCTATCTTCGAAGCTTCAATTTTCAGCGATGCCGACTGGCGATGTTTCCCGTCCTTGTTCTCTCATCGAGAAGGTATTCAATCACGCATTATATGCATGCATGCGCGCACACATAGAGCATGGTTACTTACTTACTTTACGATCAATGGGATAAGATCTCTTCGGATTATAGGTCAACTGAATTTGATAACCCCAGACCTGTTGAACACATATCTTCAATTTGATTATATTGTTCTTCTGAAAATCTGCAATATATGATGATTATGATCGGTGATGATTACTTGAGAATTGAGATTATTTGCTGGTCACGTTTGAGACCGTTGGTTTCTGGCTAACTTGTGTTCGAATAAATTACTATTAAGTTTCATTGGCCTCCGAATATCAAGTTGCTTTGGCTTTATTTGGCAGTATGTTTCTCAAGTTAGAGAGCACACATATAATTGAATATATATAGTTCAGAGACTGCTAGCATACTTGTACCTTGGTGAATGGATTTGCAGTTGGAGTTTATTGATGCATTAATTATCAACAAAAGAAGAATGTTTCCAGGAAGCGTTTAAAGCTGCTGGTGGCAAGTCACAGATAGCTATCAGCATTATGGAGGATGAAATTTTGCTTAGCTGAATGCACTATGTTTCCAGTAAAATGGCATATGAATTTGCCCAGTTTAAGACACGAGGACTGGAGTTATTGGAATACCGGTATGCATTCAACCAATTTCTTTGATGACTAGAGCAAGCATAAATTCACTCTGTAGATATTAGTATTTTGGCTGGAGGCAAGTGAAGGGGTAAATTTTGTGCCTCGAGATGTTTTAAGCTTTGGATATAAGAAGAAAGATTGAAACGTTAAAATTACATAAATGGATTTCTTACCTGAAAATATAAGTCTTCGAGTTTAACTGTGTTCTCCCGCCATATATTTTTTTTACGAAGGTTATTAGGACAGTTTCATTTCAAAGAAGTCTATACTTGCCACTTGGAGAGAAATTTCATTAATATAGAGTGAAATGGTTCTGGAATATCATTATGCTACACATACCCTAGCTTTTCATTCAAAATGTTTCCTATTTCCAAAGTTGTGAATTCACAAGTCATTTGACTGACATATAATTGATGGATGTAGATTTATACCTTTTACCCAACTTCAATGAGTTTTCATCATGAACAACTTTTTAACTAAAATTAATTATTGACTATAAATTTACACCACCAATCTAATAGTGTTAATGGCTATACTCTAGAGCATAAGGGCTTCTGTTATACATTATTGTCTTCCTCTCAGTTGAGAAGAGTAGGCTTGATTTACCAAATCAAGCTTTTCTGAGACAGGAAATCCCAAATTGAAGTACCTGGGATATGCTAACTCAACTCCTTCCGATACTTTGTAGGCACAAGGTTGCTCAGTTCCAACTGAATCCATTTAAGTCAAGTTGCTTGCAGCTCGAAGCAACATCTGTTTTGTCATCTGTGTTTAGGTCCAATTTTGGGCCAAAATAAGGCAGTTTATATTCTTGTGATGTCTTCTGCTTCTCTGGTTTAGATGTATCACTTCTATCAACAGCCTGAGCAAATAGTTTGACGTCTGCATCTGTTCCAGTAAATCTTCTGTCTGAATAATTGCTGTTGCCATTCCATTTTCCTCCTTGAAGTCCAGTGCTCACCGATAAGCCATTATTCTTTGTTTCTTCATCCATTTTGGACAGGTACTTCCTGTTTTCCCAAATGTCGTCACACCATCTGAATTCAGTCTGTTTTAGCCTGGTCTCATTGTAGAGATCTGTTGACTCCATATGTGCTCCAAAGTTCAAAGATCTCAAGCCCATCTGGCTATTACGCATCTCATGGTCCCTCAAAGAACCTTCACTGGACGTCAAGCAGCTGTCCAATGAACAATCTGTTGGCTGTGTTGCTTGTGCTTGTTGCTGACAGAAGCCTGGAAGTTCTTTTATCCCTGAAAACGCTGAGTTTAGACATTGGTTGGATACTTTGGATACTAATTCTGATAGCTGAGCCTTGGCTGCCTCCAGTCCCATTTTTCCCAAGTCCTGTCTTCCAAGAGTCTCTTGTGCTTTCTCAAGCACTGCCTGTAAGTATTTTCCTTGGGCCTCTATCCTAAGCTGTAAATGTCGCTGTACCTAAGTCATTCCAGGTAGATATCATTTAAATGCATCTAAGAAGAATCCCTTATTGACTCTTGAACTAGATATGCAGACCAAATTTTTTACAACATTGACTAGGTTTTGAGGGGAACCAAGTTGCTTATTACTGAAACAGTTCGATATTCTATATATGAAATGAAAATTTTCATTTGGTGCTAATTTTGTACCCAAATTAAACCAAATTTCCCTTATTTTAGAGAAATAAATAATTCTTAAACAATCTTTTACCTCAAGCTGCTCATGTAGCCTTCTCTGAACTTCAATTTGTATTTGTATAGCTTCGCTTATGGGTAGGTTTCTAGGTACAAGATAACACATGGTCAGATCAACATCAGTTGAAATGAGAAATGAATTGGATAACAAAATAAGCTCTCATTTATTTAACATGCTTACGTATTTGCTAGGGGTCCGATGTTTGCACTGTTTATATGATTACCATTTGCCTCAGGTATCTTGTCTGATCCGGTTGCTGCATCCATTCCTGAACTCACTGAATCGTTTCATATTTTCTCATTAAAATCTGTCTGCATATATATGTTTTACTCAAGTTCTTGGATTACTTACTTGCTTTATTGGAACTGCTATTTGCATGTCCATGGAGATTCTTACTAAGTCTGTATTTCTGTCAGTTCAAGCACAAAATGTTAGTTTGCTTTATTGTTATCACATAGAAGTATCTTCTAGCAGTTATACCATCAACTATTACATGAAAACAAATCAAAGGAGGCTTTAGGAATTACAACAAAGGCGTTAATACCCTAGACAGTGAAAATCATTCATTTAGTCATGATCCTTGTTTGCTTGGAAAAGTTGAATTAATTACTAGCTCAAGTTTTTGTAAACTAATCAAGGCTGAAATTGGGGGTGATTGAGAATGTACCTGAAGGTGACTCTTTAAGTGGTATAAGGTTAATCCTTGAATTCCCATTTGCTTCAAAACTGACTTTGGAGTAGCTTCTGCAGTAAGAAGTGCTGAATTTAATTAGCTGAACAAACTGCAATTTTTCTGATTCTTTTTAAAATTGACATGTTTGTATATACTAACTGTCTGCTCCACCAAGCTGGTTAACTGCTTCTACAAACCGCTCATGGAGGTCTTGTGTCCACTTCAATCTTGGCTTGGCATCAGTTGAAAGGACTAGTCCTGAATCACCATGGCCATTCTCACCTTGCATGAACAAATGCCTTTCAGGTGGCATCAACATATTTGTGGAAGGGTGCATGCTCTTTCCTTGACGGTGGTGATGATACATGTTGCTGTCTTTAATTTGAAAATTACAAAGTAAGTTCCACATTATGAGGAATTGAAGTATCATGACAAATTATAAATAGTTTTTATGTACCTGTAATGGATTTGAAATTGCTTGGTGCAGTCTGCTGTCACCCTTTGAATTCTAACGTGTCTTGATACTTGATCAGAGAAAACTTTTATAGAGCTTTTGTCTACACCGTTCTCCACACTCCAAAGCTGTGCTCAAGGAAGTCTTATATGGAAATGAGGAGGTGCTTTAGGAACTGGTCAGGTAAGGTATGGAATCTTGGATAGGGACAACACAAGCTACGTCAATCCAGTCTTCACAGTGACTCAAAAAGATATTTTGTTCTTGCAGTTTTAAACCCTGTGGACCCTTGCTTGCAGGTTATATTTATATTATCAGACCCTGACGCTAAGCAGTTAAATTCCTATGCATTATTGTAGTTTCTGAAACACTAACACCTTAGAATGGGTACGAGAATAGATTCACCATAGACTTTCTCCTGTGCAGACATATTCCTCTCAAAGAAAAGTTTAGAATCTTATTCTCCGAACAAGTAGAGGAATTATTTCTGATGGGGAATGGAGGAATCCACTATCTATGATGTCTTGAAACCTTCACAGCCATTTTCACCTTTCTATGGATGATTCTGCTGACTAAAGCATCTTGTACCTTGAGAGATGGCCCTGTTGTTTACTTGTTTTAAGCCCATAATAAGTGAATTAATTCATTTCTTTCAAGTTATAGCTGGGATGCATTTCTTCTTCTTTTTATAATTTAATTTATTTATAATATTATTGCCATATTGTTTTTGGTTATGGTCACTGTATGATGCAGTTATCTGGCTGCAGTGCCATAGCTATATACTTTATGATATTAGCTTGACTATAGTTTCCCCTGGGCAAAGAAAGAGATCGCTATCTCCAAACTCAGTCTTTTATTCATCATTTTTCTTTATCCATTTTCTTTTTATCTTGTTTGCTTTCAGATATCAGTGTGTTCTTGTTAAATGAAGGAGCTTTGTTTTAGCCTCCTGCAAAAGGATCATGAAAAATGCAAGCTACTTTGTGCGTCACTTTCAAGAAGCTTATGCATGTCGCTATCTACACTAGTTCTTCAGTTCCAGACTTCCAGATGTAATAATGCATGGTAAATAAACTCGCCAACTTGCTTTCAATATCTGTGTTCTGTCTAATGAACTTTCTGAATATCTTTAGTGTTCTATCTGTCACATTCTATCACCAAATATAATGAGTTAATAAAATGAGAAGATAAATATGAAAATAGTGGCAGGATTCTTTTTCTGACTTCGTCTGAAGGCCAGGAATGGAATACAGAACTTATTCCTTTTCGTCTCCTTTAGTAAGTTTGGTACTTATTCAGTTTGGACAGATCTAAAATAGTGATAAGGGGCTCTCAACTAAATCTTTCCAATTCTTCTAAAATGGCAAAAGACAGCCATCTCCAAAGCATTGGGACCATTTCAAAAAGGATATATAATGATGAACTGTACTTGCTTCATTCTTGTGTCTGTTGCAAAACATGACAACTCAGAATTGGAAGGCCACCACTTGCCTTTCCCCTGTGTTGAGCCTTGATTTGCCTGGCTGAATACTGTGGATGAATCATTCAATAGTTGCTATACATGGTTACCTATATATACTTTTATGCTCTTTTGTTGTTTAGGTCGGGCCTATATGCAAATACGTGTTGTTTTGGTGATCTAGAATTCCTTTCTCTTGGGATAGAGTGATAGACTTAACCACATAATGCATCTTCTCACCAAAAAAAAATCATGAAAGAACAGAATATAGTTCTATGACATATAAAATAATATATGTTCTGCAACTGCTATATTGAGTTACCACTTTCCAATGTACAGTAATGTGTTTGTGTTACTGTGTATAGTTCTGGTGAGCAAGTTTGCATATGAACAAATATGTCCAACATAACTAGGCAATAATGCATGTTCATCTAATGACAGCTTTTTGGTGTCTAAAAGAAGCATTAGGAGATTGATTAAAACCTTTTAGGCCTTCCCTTCTTTTAGGAATTTAACTTTTAAATGCAATTTGCTATATAATAATGAGCTAAACTGATCAACTCCTTCAAGGACATTTGTTCATTCTGTAATTTTCTATCTGGAAGGATGAATTGATTCACATACGATAGGATATATATTTTGTATGTAGCTTGGAGGAATCTTAAGCAACCTTTACATAAAGTGCAGAAAGCAGGATTCTCCAACTGTTCTGCTGGCATGTGGATAGGAATGAAATGCAGATGAGGTACGATATACCATGCCTCAAACTTTGTTAAACTGAGCTGGTGCATAGATCTCAACCGTAATGAATATGAGGGTTCTCTTTGATCACATAAACAAATGTTGGACATAGTTTCCTGAGATGGAATTTGTAGATGGGACCAAGACTTGATGATGCTTTAATTTATTTGTATATGTGAGGCCCTCCTGGTGTAAAAGTAACCAAATAGCCTTAAAATTGTCTACTGATAAATTCATTACCTTCCTTGTTATTATCTTCACTTTCCTTTCCCTTGTGATGATAATGTGTTTTGATTAGTTATTTGTATTGTGATTAGCCTTTTCTTTTAAACACTCTAATCCATAAATATAGAATAAGTACATTCTAATTTTGGTTTCATTGTTTCCAAAGCAGTACAATTAAAAGTACTTAAGTTGCATTTTCTTGATGTTACCAAAAAGATAGCTGCTGCTGTTGTTATCTCTCTCTCTCTGGTGCAAGTACGGTACGCACAACTCCTAGCTTCCTTTTACTCATCCGGACTATCTTAATTCAGTTGTTTTACTAGTGCACTTAGAAAGATTCTCTACTTTAATGAAGAGGACATGGGCATGCACCGGCCATTTGTTCTTTGATGTACTTTCATTTCGTTCCTGGATGATGCGTTTATGTTAATCTAATTCTACTTTCAAGGACTGCACATGAAAAACATCTTTCCCAGTGCTGCACAATCATTAGGACTATTAACCTTGAGTGCAGCCATTGGTTGAGGAAGAAAACACAGAGATAGAAATGACCACGGAATGATATTCCTTGAGGGAGAGAAAGAAAAAGAAAAAAGAAAATGGAAGGAGAGAGAAAGAAAAGTTAGATATTCTGGGAATGGAATTTGAGAATATTTACTAAAGCCATGGGGTCACATTCCCAAGCCAAGAATTTAGTTATTCTCTTCCCACAGCCACGGAAAATGGCTTCCTCCCCATCTTCCCTTTGTCTTTAAGCTGCTTAATGCAGTTTGGATGCTTCTTTACCTACATGCAATCAATCTATCCTTAAGGATCTTAATACCCACTATGTACCCATGATAATAATAATAATAACATATGAATAAATAAATGCATGGGATGTCTTGAGACAGTTGGTAAGCAGATTATTAATACAATTGCATGGTCGAAGAAAATTGAATCTTGTAGGGGTGTGCTGGGTAAAAAGCGCTTAGCCAAGCCTTTTCCGAGTAAGAGTTTATATATACAATTTGGGTCAAAACTAAATTAATTTTATAATGACGAGGAAATGGGATGTGTATCGGAATATATATATATATATATATATATATATATATATATATATATATATATATATATATATATGAGATGTCCCTGTCTAAGTGTGCCTAACTGAAGGTGCTGGGCTATGTTCATAATGTAAGGTAGAAAAATATAGCCCAAGTTCTTGTTATCTAAAAGTTCTGCATATCTGGATTTTCATACAGATTAAATCCAAACTCAAAGTGGGCCTTCACTTATGCTGCTAGCCTGCTACCCAATTTCAAGGCTGCTCAACTATCTGATAACATGATTGTTCTTGTTTTTGCCCAGTTGCACTTTCATAAGCCCCTTTCCCATCTTCTACACGTCCCTCACGGCCTCACCCTCCTCTCTTCCACATTAGCTGTGGAAAATTAACACATTTGAATTTAATATTGTTGGATCCTTCTATATGCTTGTGGTTTTATCAATCAAGAATTTCTAGTAGTTGAGTAGTTTAATTGTAAGATTATGTTTGATTGTCTTTCATAAATTTATACTCCGTAGTCGTTACATTACCCAGTTTCTTGATGCAACAGAAATTTTAATGTGAATAATGCTTATTTTGAAAGAATAGTGTTATATAATGCATCAATAGAGAAATTTTTGTTTGACGTTTCAATTTGTGATTAATTATTAAGTCAGTTAGTGGGCGAATTAATTTGCCTAATAGCCAATCATCAACTTACCCCCATGAAATAGGAATTTTTCCTCGGAAGAGATACCCCATCAACTTACCCCTAATGGCCAATGCATCCACGCTTGGCAAGAGATCCACACCTTCGGGGTAACTCTAGCCAAAATGGCAAGAGATTCACGCTTGTAACCACAAGGTCATGAGTTTGAATCCTTGTGCCCTTAGTTTGAGCCGGTCAGCAGCTATGAGTCTTTCTTGTGGTTCTTTGCCGACTAGAGTCACAATGCGAGATTTATTCACACTCAAAAGGGTTGTGGGTTTCCTCGTCATCCAAAAAAAAAGGAATTTTTCCATCCATGGCTTAGGAAGTACTTCCCATCTTGAAACAGCATGCTCTTGAGTTTTAGTGCTGAACTGCTGACTGCTTAATTTCATGAAAATCCTAAATTTCTGTGCTTTGAAAATTTTGTGTTTTGGACTTTTGGCAGTAAGATTAGCAGGTGAATCCTCATACTGTAGGGGACTAAGATTATAACCACTTAAGTTGGTTGCCATGAAGAATCTCTATCTCTCTTATAAACCTCTAAACAAAAAAGTTTTCTACCTTCAGCTCCATCCATCTTATGTGGAAGCTGGGCTGCAGAGCATTTCACGTTCTGAGGTCCCAGAAGCATGGCCACCCACCACTTTGTCATGCTTCAAAAAGTGGTTCTCTTTATTAGCTTGGAGATTTGGTGGTGGGATATGATTCCCACACCTTAGAAAAGCAGAGTACACGATGATTATGAGACTAAAATTATTATTTTATATAAATGTTGAGGTAAATGATATACAAGAACAAGGTTTACTCGGTGTATACCATCGAATAGTGATTACAGTTTCTTTTATCATCTAAAGATGCATTTTTTTCTTAAATGAAATAGATACTCCATACAATTTTGATAGAAAGAGTCATTTCTTTATGTTGGCAGCGTTTCATCAAGGTCACATCAATATATGGTCCATGGAGCA